GACGAAATCGGCCCGTGCCCCGGCGCCCGGGCGGAATGTCGCACGGCAGAGTTGCGCGAGAGAGAGATGGCCGGCGGCCTGCCGAGCTCATCGTCCAGCAGCGGGCAGACCGTGGCCGACGGTGATGGGCCATTTCTGAGCCGCAGACGCGCGCTTACGCACGCACGTACGTACGTACGCGCGCACGTTCACGATACTCGTGGCAGTGCAGTCTTTTCTCCCGTGACGTGTTGTTTTCACGACGCGGATTTGATATAACGCGATGAATGTGATGGAGGTCGCGGATGCGATTTGGATATGACGTGATCGAGCGAACGGAACTCCGTCGCCCGAGGTAGGATTAAGCGGTCGTTCGGCTGCCTCGACGTAGCGTACACGAGGCGGGATCTGGCGGATGCTTCTAGACGCTACCCCCACGCGCCTCGGACTTTGTCCGGCCTGCGTGCGTGTCTCACGGTTAGCGCGCACTGTGCGCCGCCTCCTGTGTTATCTATCGTTTATTATAACGCGAATTATATATCAATCACGCGGTGTTCTTGAGGAACGCAACTACCGCCGCGTTACATGAGAACGGGAATGTACCGGGATTTGAATTTGTGGGTCGCTGGCAGGGGTTGGCTATTTTTACGTCCGAGGTTGCTTGAGACACGCGTGACACGGCTTGTCGGGCAACATTGCTCGGGTAGCAGCGATGGTGAAATTTCACCGTCGGTAAAACGACACCGCCGGGAGAAGAATTTCGCAAGCTGGTCACTTCGTTTGTGCCCACGACGATTTGCTGAGCGTGCTTCTCGTCAGATCTCTGAAGCGAAGCGGTTTTTTGAGCCTGGGATAATACTAAGAGTTGGCCGCCGCCATGCCTACCAGGTGCTATAGGCTGTTGCAGGGCCAGTGCGGTAAAATCCTCCGTGGCACCCGCGGTGCAATTTTTACGCCCCCACGTTTATGCTGACTGCCTTTTGCCGATGTAATTGCAAGCATGCGCCCACTCGACGCTTTCTCCAGCACAGTTTTGGGGTTTTGTATTCCGCTTCGTTCTGTCTGACGCATCGTCAGATGGAGAGGAAAGCGAACCCACACGCACGAGACAAGGTGGTGTGCAGGGAATTCTTTCAAGTGTGTTTTACAGTAAACGTACCGCCAAGGCCGCTTTAAACTATTTTATTTTGAAACATTTATTTATATTTTTACTAGGTAAGGCCCACTGAGCTATTGATCTCTTTTTCAGAAGCTACCTGGTCATAGCATGATTGCTGAACAAAGTGGCTCATCACCCGGAAATTTGTAACAACCAAATTAGTCCGAACGCGTGGTGTTGATTCTAAATGTGGAGGAGAATAACCGGAGGGACCGGAGAAAATACCACGCGACCACGGGGAGACCGAGGCACGCAAACTCCAAATATACAGCAGGCATCGAAAGGGTCGGGATCGAGCCCACGACCTCCTGTGTACCAGGCGAGGTAGTTAACATCTCCTAGCCACCGTGATGATGATGAGAGAGAGAGAGACACCCAAATTCTAAATATACAGCAGCAGGCGTCAGGATCTGGATCGAGCCCACGGCCTCCTGTATACCAGGCGAGGTAGTTAACATCTCGCCACTGTGGCGCCCTAAGACGTTGTGACCTTGCGGAATGAAAGTCTGCCGGCAACACGGGATTAGTCAGTGGGTTCACAGTTGGGGGGGTGGGGGGGATTGGGTTGGCTGGGGTCTCACGCTTATCCCTGATCCGTGTTGAGCCACCTCATCATGCCCGCGAGAAAAGCCGGCCCACCCTCACGGTGTCCGCAGCTGAGTTTTTTCGAGATGTGCGAGCATCCGCTGGCATTGGCAAGAGACCACTTCGGCTCTTTGGTTCGTGGGCCAGAGCCGATGTTGGATCGCCCAAGGCAACAACGCTTCCATCGAGCGCCGATTTGAACAAGGCCCGCGAGTACGAATCGCCCCATAGCCCGCTCGCCTCGGGCGGTTTATCGCACGTGGTTTTCGCGGTCATTTGCCACGCAGGGAAATTGGGAACAACCCACGCTATTTCGCATGACAAGTGAAATATCAGGTCTGTGTTTTTTTGGACTTTTAAGGGTCAGAGTGCTGGTTTCAGCCACCTGTTAATTAAACGTGATTCCCAAGTGTGCAGTGGTGAGGTAGCGGACACAGTCCAGCCTCCAATGTGTCTGTCGTTTCACTTGGTGGTGTCTGACGTTCCGCTCCACGTGCTGGGAGCTTCTTCAGGAAATGCAGCGCGATTGCACAAAGCTACCCGACGGCAAGGAGAGAGAGGGGGAAGTGTGAGTCTTCGGTCTGACGGGGTGCACAGCAGATCCCGCTAGGTTTGAGCTTCGACGAAGCTCAGGGTGCACCCTGAAGCGCATCCACTGCGCAGACCAGGGCAGTCGATGCGGGGACACCCTGATGCACAAATGTAACATTGCAGACAAACTCCCCAGTAGCGGTGTGCGACTGTGGTCATCCAGGAGAAGTTGGTACAGCGTACAACGACGCCCGATCCACAAATGTGAAGGAGACATCGCGGGCGATTAGGCAGTCCGCTGCTCCCGATGCGCTTGTTGTCTGGCTTGACCACCTGGATTGTGAAGTTGTAGTTTGTCGTACGAAAGAGGCACAGCGTCCGTCACTAAGCTGCCATGCACCCCCGCTTCAAAATGATCTGACCCACGACCGCCACGAGGTACAGTCGGCTGTTTTCTCTTTTGTCAAAAGAGAAAAAATTCCTGCAGGTTCAGGGGGGGCTCCCCCCCCCCCCCCACCCAAAGCTCCCCCCGCCGACACTGCCGGGGGCTGGCTCGCGTGTAAGCGGCAACGCCGCACGTTCAGACCGCGTGCCACCCACTGTCCCCCGCGCGGGTAAATGTTTAATTTTTGTCGTCGTTGCCGCCGGGTTCAAAGGTCTCCCTCGCGATGGGTGTCGTTGCCACGACCGCTCGCCCCACGACCCCACGGCTACGTTTGACAAAAAGTCTCGTGACACCCATCGCGTTCGACCGAGCCCATGCTATTTATATTTGTATTTTTATAACAACACCAACAACACCAACAACAAAAACATTGGCAATAATAATGGTGATGATGATGTCGTTTGTTTTGGACGCCTCGCTGGCCTTTCGGGGTTATCATTCGCGAGGATCCCGCTGTGGGATTTTTTTTGTCTCTTTTTGTAAAAGTGTGCGACGAGACCGGAGTGTCCAGAGAAAACCCTAAGAATCGAAAGGTGGTGGTGGTGGAGGGGGGGTGTTGGAGGGGGGGTGGTGGAGGGGGGGTGATGGGTGGGTTGGAGTGGGTACCCGCTGTGAACTTTGACCTCTAGACTTCAGTCGCTAACAGCGCCCAGCATCCGTGACGAGCAATATCAGAGCCAGTCTTGCCCTCCTCTCCCTCCTCTCCCGCCTCATTGGTCGGCACGCATCGACCTGCACGGTGAAGTTTGGCCAAGAAATCCCAAGTGGCCGACATGTTGTGGGGAGGCCTCTTCATCCATTGGTGGATTGACATTGGGCAGAATAGATTTTAACCGCCAAAAAGTCCACAACACGATGGCTTCGTGAACCCGCTCGCGCATGCCACCGCCACCTCCTGGCCAAAACCTTTGCTCGGCATCCCACGCGGGCGGGTTCGGGAGCTTCGCGGATCTCTGCGCGACCCGCCAACCCTGGCCTCCGAAAGCCGCCGCATCTCGAGATAGCGGCCGCTTGCACGACGAGTGGCGGCCACTTCCTCCGAACCCCCCTTCCCCTTCGTGTCGCCGTAGCCCGCGGTTACGCCGTCCCTTTAAAAAATCTTTAATCTCCACGAGCCCGCTGGCCACGTGAGCTGTTCAGCGTGAAGCAACGCGGGTTATGCAAGCGGGTTGTGCGTCCTTCCGCCCCCCCCTCCCCATAACCCACCAACCCACAGCCCTTACAATAAAGGGCTGCGTTAAGCCTGCTTGCTGCTGCTGGTCAGGAAGATCGGTTTGCACTGTACTGGTTTGCCGAATCAGCAGTCTGGTTTTGCCGAAATCTGCAGTCTGCGCCGCAGCGGCGGTGGTCTTTGGGGGTGTGGATTCGCACGCGCAAGTTAACAGTGCTCGGTGGTTCTCAGATGTGGACTCGCGCGGCGCTTCTGAGCCTCGCACAGAGAGCCCGTGGACTTGCGTAGATTCTGCGACGGCCGTACACCCACCTCCACCAATTAGTAATGTGTGTCACGTGCAAGGTTCGCTACTACTCTAGCATACCGCTTGTGTGTGAGAGCAAAGCCACGGTAGGAGATGTTAACTACCTCGCCTGGTGTACAGGAGGTCGTCGGTTCGATCCCGACCCTGACGATGCCTGCTGCATATTTGGAGTTTGCGTCTCTCTCTCATCATCATCACAGTGGCTAGGAGATGTTAACTACCTCGCCTGGTATACAGGAGGTCGTCGGTTTGATCCCGACCCTGACAATGCCTGCTGCATATTTGGAGTTTGCGTCTCTCTCTCATCATCATCACAGTGGCTAGGAGATGTTAACTACCTCACCTGGTATGCAGGAGGTTGTCTGTTTGATCCCGACCCTGATGCCTGTTGTGTATTTGAAGTTTGCGTCTATCTCTCTCCCCGTGGTCATGTGGATTTTTCTCCGGGTCCTCCGGTTTTTCCCCCTCCACATTTAGAAACATGCATTAAGAGTATTTGGCTACTATGAATGTCCACGTGATAAGCGACTTCGTTGAGCTATCATTTGTGGCCAGGTCGCTTATGAAAAAGAGCGATATAGCTCGGTAGGCCTTACTGGTAAAATAAAAAGTAGTCTTTAGTTTAATGTTGAGGGTCGGGATCTCACGTTCACACCATGTGGTTGTCATACCCCCTCCTCGCATGCACTAGTGCATCTTGAGGCTGAGAGAATCGCCTCCAAACGAAAGTGATTGCAGACCAACCAAGACATTCAATCGCGATACGCCCTGGGCAACATACACCGGGCACAAGAATACAGGAAGCGTTAATTAACAATGTTCCTTTTCGGGTTCCAGGAAGTCTGAATGTTCTGACTTCCCAGATCTCGTCCTGACGACGCTTGTCACGGTGCCAAGTGATTTGTCACGTGTCCCAACTGCTGCTAGGCCTGGCTGTGAGAATTCTCCCTCGACTCCATCGGCTGAGCGGGCCGGAACGACCACCATCGCCGCGTTGTTAAACGTTCGCACGCCACGCGGGGCAGTTTCATTCGCTTGGCCGTGTCAGGTGGTGGAGGGTTTGGCGAGAGAGAGACGAGCAAACTTCACATATGCAGGTGTCAGGGTCCGGATCGAACCCACGACCTCCTGCACACTCCCCCCTTCTCACCCTACCACTCAGGAAACCTCCGCTGCTCGTGGTGGTGGTGGTGGCTGCGTTTATAACCACCGCCGTGCGTGTCTCTCCACAGGCTTTGCTGCCGTCATCGCGATGTACCTCGCCGTCGGCTACGGAGCGTCGCTGCTGTGCAACCTCGTGGGCTTCTGCTACCCCGCCTACCGCTCGTGAGTCTGCACGGCCGCACACAGCGCCGCCCACAGCACCGCCCACAGCGCCGCACGCAGCGCCACCCACAGCGCCACCCACAGCGCCACCCACAGCGCCACCCACAGCGCCGCCCACAGCGCCACCCGCAGCGCCACCCACAGCGCCGCACGCAGCGCCACCCACAGCGCCACCCACAGCGCCACCCACAGCGCCACCCACAGCGCCACCCACAGCGCCACCCACAGCGCCGCCCACAGCGCCGCCCGCAGCGCCACCCACAGCGCCACCCACAGCGCCGCCCACAGCGCCACCCACAGAGCCACCCACAGCGCCACCCGCAGCGCCACCCACAGCGCCGCACGCAGCGCCACCCACAGCGCCGCCCACAGCGCCACCCACAGCGCCGCACGCAGCGCCACCCACAGCGCCACCCACAGCGCCGCACGCAACGCCACCCACAGCGCCACCCACAGCGCCACCCACAGCGCCACCCACAGCGCCACCCGCAGCGCCGCCCGCAGCGCCGCCCACAGCGCCACCCACAGCGCCACCCACAGCGCCACCCACAGAGCCACCCGCAGCGCCACCCGCAGCGCCACCCACAGCGCCACCCACAGCGCCACCCACAGCGCCACCCACAGAGCCACACGCAGCGCCACCCGCAGCGCCACCCACAGCGCCACCCGCAGCGCCACCCACAGCGCCACCCACAGAGCCACCCACAGCGCCACCCACAGAGCCACACGCAGCGCCACCCGCAGCGCCGCCCACAGCGCCACCCACAGCGCCACCCACAGCGCCACCCACAGAGCCACACGCAGCGCCACCCACAGAGCCACCCACAGCGCCACCCACAGCGCCACCCACAGCGCCACCCACAGCGCCACCCACAGCGCCACCCACAGCGCCGTCGTGGGGCCGCGATCAGTCCGCGCGCAGTAGGGGGGGGCGCTCTCCGTAGTGTGCAACAAACGCGCACGCAAGGCGCGGACGCTTAGTCTGTTTAACGCGTAGGCTTTCGCACTCACTGTGGCATTCACCTGATGATGCTGGTTGTAATCACCAGTCAAACATGGTGCTCACGTTCAAAATTACACTAAACTTTTTTTTTACTTTACCAGGTAAGGCCCACTGAGCTATACAGCTCGTTTTTTTCAGAAGCAATCTGGCCACAAATGATAGCTCCATGAAATGGATCATCTTCATGGGGAGAGAGACACGCAATCGCCAAATATACAGGCGTCAGGGTCCGGATCGAACCCTCGACTTCCTGCCACCGTGGGTTTGCTCTCCAACACACAAGCCCAGTGTGCTAAGGTGCTATCTAATTAGCACCTGTTGTTCACAAAACAAGCTAATTGGCGGAGGTGTGTGTACGACACATCGCTGCCAACTCATACGGTTTACCCCGTGTTCTTGTACAGCGAAGTAGAATTTTCAGGTCCATACGGCATACAGCCGTTTCAATACGGGCACAAAAGAAAATAATGTCTGTTTGTGTTTCTCCCTTGTGATGGGACTTTGTGGGATGAACGTTGGGATTTATAAGGGCACGGGATGACCGATACGGTCTGAATTGGTCTGTAATCAGGCAGGGCACTGATAAGGGCTTGACAGTGATGACGACACATTTATATTCACACGACCTATGCCAAAACAACTCCTACCGTGAACACAGATTCTGCCACTCACGAGATTTGCATCGAGTTGCGCGTGTACAAGTGTAATATCCATAATACTCATAATACAGATCGCGTCAATATACAAATGTGTCGTTAATACCAGCCACCACCCGACACAGCCAACTAGTAAGGGTTGTCACGTAAACAGAACGTGGCCAATTCGTTACTAGTACAGCACTAGTGTGTAGTGTATAGTGTAGCCAGAATTGTGGAGAAATCCTCCTGTCTCGTTCCTTAAATAGAGGGGTAGGTGTGACGGCGTCACTTGTGAGCCCTTCTTGAGCAAAGTCGGGACGAGGTGGGGGGGATTATTGAATGCGTACAAATGACAACAACTATTTATTATGGATGATATCGGCCGTCGTGAAAGCCTACACGTTAAACAAACTTCACATTTTCACATTTCGTGAAGAGTCGCGCGCACAGAGGCCGCGGTGGTCGCGAGCGGACGCGCAGCTGGGGACGAGACGGGCGGTGCGGGCGCCAGCGCTCATGGGGTGGGAATGAATGAATACAACAACAAAACATAGAACGTGATGACGCGTCCTTTTGAAGAGGAAGTTTGCGTCTTCGTACGGGGGAGCTGGTGGGGTAGGCGGGTCGGTGACAATCCGTTGAATCGCAGGGAGCTGAACATTTCGTCCAATGTTCATGCGGGGGGGGGGGGGGGGTGTTGAATCTCTTCTGCATGGAGTGAATCATTGTTTAAGTCTCGCGGAGTGCTGCTTATTTTTGTCGGCTACAATGAATTCGTGGTTTTTGGCCGGAGATTTGATTTTGGCAGTGTTCTAAACAGCGAGACATGAAGGCACTGAAACTATGCGCACTTTTAACTCGAAATTGAAAACGCATTTCTGTAGAACTGCTTTTTGTGTTTAGTTTGTTGTCCTTCCCCTGCACCTCCGATTAGCACAGTCGGCTACGTACGGTGCGAAAGAAGTTTAACATATATACACTACACTATACACTACACTATACACTAAACTATACACTACGATACACACTACACTGTACACTACTATACACTACACACATCACTACACTGAAGTTAAAACTCATTTATTTAGAGCCTGATTTTTGTGTTTAGTTTGTGGTCTTTTGCCCCCCCCCGCGCACCTCCGATCAGCCACGGTTGGCTAACAACGTGCGGCGCGGGAACACGTTCAACGCACGCACGTGCATGCCACGCACGCACGTGCATGCCACGCACGCACGTGCATGCCATGCCACGCACGTGCATGCCACGCACGCACGTGCATGCCACGCACGCACGTGCATGCCACGCACGCACGTGCATGCCATGCCACGCACGTGCATGCCACGCACGCACGTGCATGCCACGCACGCACGTGCATGCCACGCACGCACGTGCATGCCACGCACGCACGTGCATGCCACGCCACGCATGTGCATGCCACGCATGCACGTGCATGCCACGCACGCACGTGCATGCCACGCATGTGCATGCCATGCACGTGGGTGGCATGCACGTGCGATGTTTACACACCACACCAGGTATGCATTTGAGGCTGAGTCGACCTAGGGGGGAGGTCCAGGACTGCTTGCGATAATGGTTTCACCGGTGGTGGCCGTGAGCGGGAATCCAACTGGTTGCCAGGTTGGTAGCGTGGCGCGCCAACCGCCACACGTCGGCAGATTCAAGTCTGCGTCGTCGTCGTCGTCGTCGTCGTCGTCGTCGTCATCACGATCCATTGGGGCAGACTGCCCGTAGGTGTCCCCACCGCACACACTCACACACTCAGTCGTTCCCTTCCCACTCGTCACACCGACCACCGATTGCCGCTGCTCATTCCAATTGAATTTCCAGCCCATTGTCAATCCGCTGTTGGTCGAAGGCCGCCCCCTCCTACCTGCCCCCCCCCCCCCCCCCCCGGCAACGGCGTCGTGTCGCGCGTCGCGTTGTTTGTTGTCCACAACTTGGGCACGCTGAGCCCCGGTGCGGGTTTGGTGGAGGCGGCGGGACGGGGGAACGCGAGTGTCGCTCGTCATCACCGTTGCTGGCGACGGCCGGGTATAATTCGCACGCGCCAATTTGCGCGGTCACGTGCACAGTTCTTCCCCGGAGCGACGGAACACCCTCATTACGGAGGCAGCACTCCCCCACGCCTGGACAAGTTTGCCGACGACGGAGGGGGCTTTCGCTGCCGGAAGCAACGTGGCCTGGTTCCCTACCGCGAGATCCTGACCGCGTCCGTCCCGGTGCTTGCCGAGCCGCATTGGCCTCCTGTTTGCCAAGAACGAATGTTGTTGTCATGGGGTCGCGCTCGCTACGCACGCCAGGAGGGTGCCACAAAAGAACCCGCGACTCATCTCGTCAAGGAGGCGTAGACCTTCACGCAAACTCCGGTCGTCCCCCGCAGCAACGGCCTTTGGCTAACCATCGAACAAATGCGCGGCGCTTTCAGTTGGCGCTTTTGCGGCCGTCTGGAATGCTCTTCTTTCCGATATTACGAAGCCACTGCAGCGATGCAATCATCTAGATGGACAAACTCATTTCTTTGCGACTGCTGTTTGCGTTTAGTTTTCTTGTCCTTCCCCCGCACATCCGATGAACACGGTTGGCAACGTACGGCGTGAAAGAAGTTCGGCATACTTGAATGTGGCATTCTAAAAAATAATTTCCGCGTGCGAGGATCTGCAGGGCTGGACAATGCACGTGGCGGCAGTGCCCCCCGCGGGTTCTTTGATACGCCGTGCATCTCTCGCAAGAATACAAAGAAAACGTTTTGTACGCTAAGAGAGAGCCCGCAGGGCTTTATCAGGGAGCCAATAGGCGTCTTATTCGAGAGGGCCAGGGATATATTGGGTTTGCACACACGCTACCAACCACTCCTGCCACACCATAACCACAGCGGCGCGGTTAACCCTGACGCTTTCACACACACTACCAACCATCCCTGCCACACCATAACAGTGGCACGGTTAACCCTGACGCTTTCACACACGCTACCAACCATCCCTGCCACATCATAACAGCGGCACGGTTAACCGTCATGCTTCCACACACACTACCAACCACCCCTGCCAAACCATAGCCACAGCGGCACGGTTAACCCTGACGCTTTCACACACGCTACCAACCATCCCTGCCACATCATAACAGCGGCACGGTTAACCATCACACTTTCACACACGCTACCAACCATCCCTGCCAAACCATAGCCACAGCGGCACGGTTAACCCTCACGCTTTTACACACGCGGAGGACCCGGAGAAAAATACACGCAACCATGGGGAGAGAGACATGCAAACTTAAAATAGACAACAGGCGTCAGGGTAAGGATCAAACCCACAACCTCCTCCGTACCAGGCGAGGTGGTTAACATCTTGCCACTGCCCCACCCCAGTTTCTCTCTGTATGAAGGTGTTGTTGGCTGATTTAATGAGTACTTACCCGTGGGAGGTAACCGGAGCACCCGGCAAAAACCCAGGCGTGCGAGGGAGAAACACTCTATCCCCATACAGGGATTCCGCTACTTACGAATGAGTTAGGTTCCAGAGGTCTGTTCTTAAGTCGATTTGTTCGTAAGTGCAACTTTACTTCTGTCGATTCCAAACGTGTTGTACGGCGTGTACACTAAACACGGGGAATGGCTTTAAACGTTGTATAACCTCCTGTAGATGTAGATGCCACTGGTTCTTCACGTTCTGTAGATGTAGATGCCACTGGTTCTTCACGTTCTGCAGATGTAGATGCCGCTGGTTCTTCACATTCTGCAGATGTAGATGCCACTGGTTCTTCACGTTCTGCAGATGTAGATGCCACTTGTTCTTCACGTTCTGTAGATGTAGATGCCATTAGTACTTCACGTTCTGTAGATGTAGATGCCACTGGTTCTTCACGTTCTGTAGATGCCACTGGTTCTTCATGTTCTACAGATGTAGATGCCACTGGTTCTTCGCGTTCTGTAGATATAGATGCCACTGGTTCTTCACGTTCTACAGATGTAGATGCCACTGGTTCTTCACGTTTTGCAGATGTAGATGCCACTGGTTCTTCACGTTTTGCAGATGTAGATGCCACTGGTGCTTCACGTTCTGCAGATGTAGATGCCACTGGTTCTTCACGTTCTGTAGATGTAGATGCCACTGGTTCTTCACGTTCTGTAGATGTATATGCCACTGGTTCTTCACGTTCTGTAGATGTAGATGCCACTGGTTATTCACGTTTTACAGATGTAGATGCCACTGGTTCTTCACGTTCTGCTGATGTAGATGCTACTGGTTCTTCACGTTATGTAGATGTAGATGCCACTGGTTCTTCACGTTCTGTAGATGTAGATGCCACTGGCTCTTCACGTTCTGCTGATGTAGATGCCACTGGTTCTTCACGTTCTGTAGATGTAGATGCCACTGGCTCTTCACGTTCTGCTGATGTAGATGCCACTGGTTCTTCACGTTCTGCAGATGTAGATGTCACTGGTTCTTCACGTTCTGTAGATGTAGATGCCACTGGCTCTTCACGTTCTGCTGATGTAGATGCCACTTGGTTCTTCACGTTCTGTAGATGTAGATGCCCTGGTTCTTCACGTTCGTAGATGTAGATGCCGCTGGTTCTTCACGTTCTGCAGATGTAGATGCCACTGGTTCTTCACGTTCTGTAGATGTAGATGCCACTGGCTCTTCACGTTCTGCTGATGTAGATGCCACTGGTTCTTCACGTTCTGTAGATGTAGATGCCACTGGTCTTCACGTTCTGTAGATGTAGATGCCACTGGTTTTCACGTTCTGTAGATGCCACTGGTTCTTCATGTTCTAGATGTAGATGCCACTGGTTCTTCGCGTTCTGTAGAATAGATGCCACTGGCTCTTCACGTTCTGCAGATGTAGATGCCACTGGTTCTTCACGTTTGCAGATGTAGATGCCACTGGTTCTTCACGTTCTGCAGATGTAGATGCCACTGGCTCTTCACGTTCTGCAGATGTAGATGCCACTGGCTCTTCACGTTCTAGATGTAGATGCCACTGGTTCTTCACGTTCTAGATGTAGATGCCACTGGTTCTTCACGTTCTGTAGATGTAGATGCCACTGGTTCTTCACGTTTCAGATGTAGATGCCACTGGTCTTCACGTTCTGCAGATGTTAGATGCCACTGGTTCTTCACGTTCTGTAGATGTAGATGCCACTGGTTCTTCACGTTCTGCTAGATGTAGATGCCACTGGTTCTTCACGTTTGCAGATGTAGATGCCACTGGTTCTTCACGTTCTGCAGATGTAGATGCCACTGGTTCTTCACGTTCTGCAGATGTAGATGCACTGGTTCTTCACGTTCTGTAGATGTAGATGCCACTGGTTCTTCACGTTCTGCAGATGTAGATGCCACTGGTTCTTCACGTTCTGTAGATGTAGATGCCACTGGTTCTTCACGTTCTGCTAGATGTAGATGCCACTGGTTCTTCACGTTCTGTAGATGTAGATGCCACTGGTTCTTCACGTTCTGTAGATGTAGATGCCACTGGTTCTTCACGTTCTGCAGATGTAGATGCCACTGGCTCTTCACGTTCTGCTAGATGTAGATGCCACTGGTTCTTCACGTTCTGCAGATGTAGATGCCACTGGCTCTTCACGTTCTGCTAGATGTAGATGCCACTGTTCTTCACGTTCTGCAGATGTAGATGCCACTGGCTACGGTTCTCACTTTCTGCAGACGTAGATTGCAACGTCTCTCACGTGTCTGAGAATGTAAATGCAGCTGTTCTTCACGTTTCTCAGATGTAGTTCCACTGGCTCTTCACGTTCTGTAGATGTAATGCCACTGGCTCTCACTTTCTGCAGATGTAGATGCCACTGGTTTCTTCACGTTCTGCAGATGTATATGCCACTGGCTCTTCTGTTCTGTAGATTTAGATGCCACTTTTATTCACGTTCTGCAGATGTAGATGCCACTGGGTCGTCACGTTTCTGCAGATGTAGATGCCACGGTTCTTCACGTGCTGAAAATGTAGATGCCACTGTTCTTCACGTTTTGCAGATGTAGATGTCACTGGTTCTTCTACGTCTGCAGATGTAGAGGCCACTGGTTCTTCACGTTCTGCGATTTAGATAGCCACTGGTTCTTTCACGTTCTGCAGATGTAGATGCCACTGGTTCTTCACGTTCTGCAGATGTAGATGCCACTGGCTCTTCACGTTCTGCAAGATGTAATGCACTGGTTCTTCACGTTCTGCAGATGGTAGATGCCACTGGTCTCTTCACGTTCTGCAGATGTAGATGCCACTGGTTCTTCACGTTCTGCAGATGTAGATGCCACTGATTCTTCACGTTCTGCAGATGTAGATGCCACTGGTTCTTCACGTTCTGCAGATGTAGATGCCACTGGCTCTTCACGTTCTGCAGATGTAGATGCCACTGGTTCTTCACGTTCTGCAGATGTATATGCCACTGGTTCTTCACGTTCTGCAGCTGTAGATGCCACTGGTTCTTCACGTTCTGCAGATGTAGATGCCACTGGTTCTTCACGTTCTGCAGATGTAGATGCCACTGGCTCTTCACGTTCTGCAGATGTAGATGCCACTGGTTCTTCACGTTCTGCAGATGTAGATGCCACTGGCTCTTCACGTTCTGCAGATGTAGATGCACTGGTTCTTCACGTTCTGCAGATGTAGATGCCACTGGCTCTTCACGTTCTGCAGATGTAGATGCTACTGGTTCTTCACGTTCTGCAGATGTAGATGCCACTGGTTCTTCACGTTCTGCAGATGTAGATGCCACTGGCTCTTCACGTTCTGCAGATGTAGATGCTACTGGTTCTTCACGTTCTGCAATGTAGATGCCACTGGTCTTCACGTTCTGCAGATGTAGATGCCACTGGCTCTTCACGTTCTGCAGATGTAGATGCTACTGGCTCTTCACGTTCTGCAGATGTAGATGCCACTGGTTCTTCACGTTCTGCAGATGTAGATGCCACTGGTTCTTCACGTTCTGCAGATGTAGATGCCACTGGTTCTTCACGTTCTGCAGATGTAGATGCCACTGGCTCTTCACGTTCTGCAGATGTAGATGCTACTGGTTCTTCACGTTCTGCAGATGTAGATGCCACTGGCTCTTCACGTTCTGCAGATGTAGATGCCACCACCACCATCTATTGCGCAGTGGTTGAACTTGCGACTCTCGGTCCGGAAATGCAACCTTGACGTTACGGACCAGGTTTGTTCGTATCTCTGAATGTTCGTAAGTCGAGGAGTCTCTGGGGAGCCGTGGGACACGTGGAGTTGGTGCTGTGGCGCCTCCTCCTGCGGCGTCTAGCAAAATTCACACGGGGGTAATGATGTTACCCCGTCCGGGGGGGGGGGGGGGGGGGTTATGATGATGTTACCCCATGCGTTTGTGTGTGGGGGGCGGGGTGGGTAACGAGGACGTGACCCCGTGCGTGTGTGGAGGGGGTGGGTCGTGACGAGGATGTGACCCCGTGCGTGACCCCGTGCGTGACCCCGTGCGTGACCCCGTGCGTGACCCCGTGCGTGGCTCCCGCAGGATCGCGGCGATCGAGAGCTCCAGCAAGGAGGACGACACCAAGTGGCTCACCTACTGGGTGGTCTACGGACTCTTCTGCGTCGGGGAGTTCTTCTCCGACCTCGTCCTCTACTGGTTCCCCTTCTACTACTTCTTCAAGGTGACGTGGCGGATTTTGTCGCCGCCAAACGGCGCCCGTGGCATGCGCCGTCACGACCTGCGCCCATTGACCTGCGCTCCTTGACCTACGCTGCCTTGATCTGCGCCCTTGACCTTTGCCATCTTGACCTGCGCCCTTGACCATCACTGTCTCGACCTGCACCACCTTGACCTGCTCCACCTTGACCTGCACCACCTTGATCTGCTCCACCTTGACCTGCTCCGCCTTAACCTGCTCCGCCTTAACCTGCTCCGCCTTGACCTGCTCCACCTTGACCTGCTCCACCTTGACCTGCTCCGCCTTGACCTGCTCCGCCTTGACCTGCTCCACCTTGACCTGCTCCGCCTTGACCTGCTCCGCCTTGACCTGCTCCGCCTTGACCTGCTCCGCCTTGACCTGCTCTGCCTTGACCTGCTCCGCCTTGACCTGCTCCGCCTTGATCTGCTCCGCCTTGACCTGCTCCGCCTTGACCTGCACCGCCTTGACCTGCTCCGCCTTGACCTGCACCGCCTTGACCTGCTCCGCCTTGACCTGCTCCGCCTTGATCTGCTCCGCCTTGACCTGCTCCGCCTTGACCTGCTCCGCCTTGACCTGCTCCGCCTTGACCTGCTCCGCCTTGACCTGCTCCACCTTGACCTGCTCCGCCTTGATCTGCTCCGCCTTGACCTGCTCCGCCTTGACCTGCTCCGCCTTGACCTGCACCGCCTTGACCTGCTCCGCCTTGACCTGCACCGCCTTGACCTGCTCCGCCTTGACCTGCTCCGCCTTGACCTGCTCCGCCTTGACCTGCACCGCCTTGACCTGCTCCGCCTTGACCTGCTCCGCCTTGACCTGCTCCGCCTTGACCTGCTCCGCCTTGACCTGCTCCGCCTTGACCTGCACCACCTTGACCTGCTGCTCCACCTTGACCTGCTCCACCTTGACCTGCTCCACCTTGACCTGCTGCTCCACCTTGACCTGCTCCACCTTGAACTTCACCACCTTGACCTGCTCCACCTTGAACTGCTCCACCTTGACCTGCGCCGTTCCGACCGCCGTGCCTGGAGGTTGCACCGGCTGGCCCAGAACGCGACCCTCACGCTTGTTCGCCCCGTACAACATCAACAACAATAACAACAACAACAACAACAATAATAATGGTAGGGAGTAGCAGTGCCGACTGGGGGGGGGGGGGGGCACGTTGTGGTCGCGAGCGCTTGACTAGGGGCCCCTCTGAGCGGAGGACTCTGGCGAGGTGCCGTGACCCCGGCGACCTCCCTTGATTCCAGCCCACGGCGAGCGACTTCTGCACTCGGCTTGGGCCCCCCCCCGCCAGCCGCCCCCAGTTTGTCTGCAGCGGTGGTTCTTCACCTGGGGGGTGGGGTGGGGGAGGAAGAATCTTTGGGTGCTGACGGACACGTGGGGAGACTCAATGCAGCAACGGAGAGCATGAATAAGCCACGAAGGGTGCACACTGCAGCAGTGGTTCTTCTTCTTCTTAGCTTGGGGGTGCACGCCCCCCCCCCCCCCCCACTGGGGGTGCGAGATGCCCTCTCTGGGGCGTGGCGAGACACGGCCAGATTTGTTTATCATATAAGGTCAATCATCGCAAACGCAACTTAAGCACCGGCACGTTAAGTAACAACTTACTTTGTTTCGTCGAACCCGACCTGTTTATTGATATTGTACTTTTTTATTTTAATATCGAGAACCAAAAGGGGGGGGGGTGCAAGGCTACAGTGAAGTTTAAGGACCGCTGGTCTACGCGCTCGCAAATCTCACGCGCTCGCACACACACGACGATGAAGATCCCCCGTGTGGCCTACGGACACTGTTGGGGCAAGTGCTGTTTGCGAGCGCCGGTTTTAAGGCCGGGAGGGCGGGCGAAGAGGCGTCTAAGGAATCGAACTCGGGTCACCGGTTTCGTAGCGCAGCGCAGTGTACAGTAGAACCCGCTCTTGACGGCGGCAATTCGTTCCTCGACTGCCCGTGAAGTGATTTGGTCGTTAAGCGAGTTTAGGAAGGGCAGATTAACGGCGTCATTCGTTCCGATGGCGTCGCATGTGAACAATGCCCCAGCGATCGTGAATGGACGTCGCTGATTGGCCGAGGCCTGGTCAGACCACTTTGGAGCCCGCCGATTGGCCGAAATTGGTGGTCGCCCGTGGTTAACGGGGGAATGGTCTGTTAGCGAACCACATTGGGTTCTATGGAGGCACTACACTACATTATACACTACACTACTATACACTACACTACTATACACTACATTATACACTACGCTATACACTACACTATACACTACACTATACACTACACTATACACTACACTATACACTACACTACACACTACATTATACATGACACTATATACCACTTCTATACACTACACATGGGGCTCTATGGAGGCTAGTTGTTAAGCAATTAATCGTTAACAGGGATGGTCGTTAAGAGGGGTTCTTCTGTACTAAACACGACGCTTACCGCCCCCCATGCGTTCACTTACACACCTATGTGTGTAAGTGAACGCACCTATGTGTGTAAGTGAACGCACCTATGTGTGTAAGTGAACGCACCTATGTGTGTAAGTGAACGCACCTATGTGTGTAAGTGAACGCATCTATGTGTGTAAGTGAACGCACCCATGTGTGTAAGTGAACGCACCCATGTGTGTAAGTGAACGCACCCATGTGTGTAAGTGAACGCACCCATGTGTGTAAGTGAACGCACCCATGTGTGTAAGTGAACGCACCTATGTGTGTAAGTGAACGCACCCACGTGTATAAGTGAACGCACCCACGTGTGTAAGTGAACGCACCCACGTGTGTAAGTGAACGCACCTACGTGTGTAAGTGAACGCACCTACGTGTGTAAGTGAACGCACCTATGTGTGTAAGTGAACACACCCACGTGTGTAAGTGAACGCTGCGCTACGAACCCGGCAATGCAAGTTCGATTCCTGCTCACAGCCAACACCAGTGACGATAATCTGAACCCGTCCTGGGCCTCCCGTAGGCCCACTCGGCCTAAAATGAGTGCTATACGTAAACATCACCACTGGGGAGACAAAGGCGGCCGGGCGTGGTGTTTCCCACCCACCCCTCGCGTGCCGTGCCGGCCTTCATAGGCCCTGGTGAACAGCACTTCCCCGACAGTCGGGTAAGGCTTCACTGGGCGGGTCTTTGTGTCCGTGCTCGCGTACGCACACACTCCGCACACCCGTGTGTGTGTCTGTGTAGAAACATCGCCACTGGGTGGGGGGGGGGGGGGGAGACAAAGACGGACGGGCGTGGCTCTGGTGACCCACCCACCCCACCTCATGGGCCACTGTGCCGGCCTTCGTCGGTGCTGCTCGCTTAACAGCGCTTGCCCCAGCGGTCTGTCAAAACACACACGGGAGGCGGCGGGGGTGGTGGATGGTGACCTTTGTCTTTGCGTGCTGCAGTGTGCCTTCCTCGTGTGGTGCATGGCGCCCGTGTCGTGGAACGGCTCCACCGTCATCTACCAGCGCATCATCCTGCCCTGGTTCCATGCCCACGCGGCACAGGTCGACCGCGTGATGGAAGACCTGGGCGGGCGGGCGCGCGAGGCGGCCGACGCTGCCACGTCACGAGGTGAGGGAGGTGGGGGGGGGTAGTGGGGGGGGGTAGTGGGGGGGGGGTAGTGGGGGGGGAGGGGGTAGTGGGGGGGAGGGGGTGGAGGGGGTAGTGGGGGGGGAGGGGGTAGTGGGGGGAGGGGGTAGTGGGGTGGAGGGGGTAGTGGGGTGGAGGGGGTAGTGGGGGGGAGGGGGTGGAGGGGGTAGTGGGGTGGAGGGGGTAGTGGGGTGGAGGGGGTAGTGGGGGGGAGGGGGTAGTGGGGGGGAGGGGGTAGTGGGGGGGAGGGGGAAGTGGGGGGGAGGGGGAAGTGGGGCGGGAGGGGGTAGTGGGGGGGAGGGGGTAGTGGGTGGGAGGGGGTAGTGGGGGGGAGGGGGTAGTGGGGGGGAGGGGCGTACAGAATTGTGATGAAATGTGGCAGTGTGTACCTGGGTCTGTCATGTGACCTCCTGCCGGCAGCGAGCCTTCGACACTTCACGTGATAGCCTCGGAGTGCACCTAGGCTGGCACGAGCGCCGTGGTGACGTCACTGCCACTCGTGCATGTCTGTTGAACTTCTTTCTCACCGTACGTAGCCAACTGTGCGAACAGGAGGGTGCCGGCTGAAGTGTGTGTGTGTGTGTGCAAGTTGCGTGTCTATGTAAATTTGTGTGTGCAAGTTGCGTGTCTATGTAAATGTGTGTGTGCAAGTTGCGTGTGTATGTAAATTTGTGTGTGCAAGTTGCGTGTGTATGTAAATTTGTGTGTGCAAGTTGCGTGTGTATGTAAATGTGTGTGTGCAAGTTGCGTGTCTATGTAAATTTGTGTGTGCAAGTTGCGTGTGTATGTAAATGTGTGTGTGCAAGTTGCGTGTGTATGTAAATTTGTGTGTGCAAGTTGCGTGTGTATGTAAATGTGTGTGTGCAAGTTGCGTGTGTATGTAAATTTGTGTGTGCAAGTTGCGTGTGTATGTAAATTTGTGTGTGCAAGTTGCGTGTGTATGTAAATTTGTGTGTGCAAGTTGCGTGTCTATGTAAATTGTGTGTGCAAGTTGCGTGTCTATGTAAATTTGTGTGTGCAAGTTGCGTGTCTATGTAAATTTGTGTGTGCAAGTTGCGTGTGTATGTAAATTTGTGTGTGCAAGTTGCGTGTGTATGTAAATTTGTGTGTGCAAGTTGCGTGTGTATGTAAATTTGTGTGTGCAAGTTGCGTGTGTATGTAAATTTGTGTGTGCAAGTTGCGTGTGTATGTAAATTTGTGTGTGCAAGTTGCGTGTGTATGTAAATTTGTGTGTGCAAGTTGCGTGTGTATGTAAATTTGTGTGTGCAAGTTGCGTGTGTATGTAAATTTGTGTGTGCAAGTTGCGTGTGTATGTAAATTTGTGTGTGCAAGTTGCGTGTGTATGTAAATTTGTGTGTGTAAGTGTGACATGGGCATGGTGCTGGTCACCCACCCCTTCGTGTGCTGTGCCGGCCTTAATCGGTTCTCCCGAACAGCACTTGCCCCAACAGCCTGTTAAAGGCTATACGAGGGATCTTTGCATTTGTCTTTGCCCCCTGTGAAGGTGAGAGCATGTGTTTGAGTGTCTGTGTATGTGTGAGCGTGAGAGCGTGCGTCTGCGAGTGTGTTATTTGCAGTCCCGTGACCTCAAGTCAGCAGCGAACCTTTGACACCTAAGTGCACCGAGCCTGGCACAAGCTATGGTGTGACATTCACAGCCACGTGGTGGTGATTGGCGGCGCCTGTTGTTGTTGTGGCAGTAAACATTTGCCTGCTATTACAACGGCACTGCTACGGTTCTGCCACTGCGTACCGCCCATGATGCTTCCCTGCCAATCAGCAATTAATCAGCAACTAAACTGTTTAAACATTTTTTAATTGTACCAGGTAATCTTATCTGGCGCTCTCGTTCCGAAGTGGACTGGCCACAAGCGATGGCCCGATCACAGTGGCGTATCGTCATCGTGTGGACATTTATAACAGAAGCCAAATACTCTTCAGTGCACGTTGATTCTAAATGTGTAGGGAAAAACCAGAGGACCCGGAGAAAAATCCACACGACCACAGGGAGAGACACGCAAACTCCAAATATACAGCAGCAGGCGTCAGGGTCGGGATCGAACCCACGACCTCCTGTATACCAGGCCGAGGTAGTTAACATCTCGAATATTAAAAAAAAATGTTCGCCGATTTGCCATCTGGACTTGTGCTACAGCGCCATGTGGATACACACGGCGTCTACCCGCACTCGCATCCCAGAAGTCTCTGCGGGGGCAGCTGGCGTAGCAGTTATTTCCTGGAGAGAGGCAGGGGGCAGGGAGTCCAGCGGCATGGAGCTGCACTAAAACTAAACTGATTTTTTTATTTTAACCAAGTAAGGCCCCGCTGAGCTCTTTTTCAGAGGCGACCTGGCTGCCACAATTGTATATCTCAAGGAAGTGGCTTATCATCATCATCACCATCACGTGCAAATTGATAGCAGCCAAATGGTCTCTAAACGCGTGATGTTTATTCTAAATGTGGAGGGAAAAACCGGAGGACCTGGAGAAAAATTCCACGCGACCACGGGGAGAGAGACACGGAAACGCCAAAAATATACAGCAGCAGGTGTCAGGGTCTGGATAGAACCCACGACCGCCTGCATACTAGGCGAGGTAATTAACATCTCACCACGGTGGCAGAAGAGAGTTCTGGACCACTACGAACTTGATCCGGCATCCAGAATCGGAACCTTTATTGAGACTGCAGGAGGAATCCGATGAGCTATGAAGCTCTTCACAGATGTCCCGTGGGGGGCGGGTCGTCGAGCCGCTGCAGGCATCCTCGCCGCACTCCGTGTAAGGGGGATGGTGTCGACCCGCCAACACCGCCGCGTTTATAATCTTAGCGCCGCACTCAGGCACCGTCCCGCACGCAGCGCCCACGTGGTCAAGGTTCAGTGTCATCCAAAGCGTGGCCCATGTGGCTCGCACCCCAGGTTTACAGACGCGTCCGTTGTTGTTGTTGTTGTTGTTATTCTTCTGCACCTTGCCCCTCACCCACCCCCTCCCCCCCACCTCCTCGTCCGTCACCCACAGCCGTTGGCCTCGCGACAGCGGCCTTGGGCTCCAAGGACAAGAAAAGTTCGTGACTGCGACAGCGCTCGGCGCCGCCGCCGCCACGGAGCTGACCGACGCTGCGGGCGAATCGACCTCTCTTCCGCGGCCGCTGAATCCGGCTCGTGGTGGGGGGCGGTGGGGGGTGGTGGGGGGGTGTGTGGGGGGTGGGGAGCCGGGGAGTCCATGCGGGGGTCGGGGGTCAGGGGTTAATTATTTTTTTGCCACTCCATGCCACGTCGTCGGGTCGTGCCGCCCGGCCGCGTGGGGGCGGCACGGCTCGGTTTGCGGCCAGCGCGAATCGGCGAGTTTCGGCGTTCACCGACCGGCGGTTTTGGCTTTTGAGAGGGAGCAAGGGGTGAAGTGGCGAGTTGGGAAGTTTTTCCCCGCCCGGTGTTTCAGGTCTGCCACGGGTCCACGCTGCATTTCTTTACATCTCTCTTTCTCTTGCCCTCCATGTCTCTCCGTATCCATCTCTCTCTCTCTCTCGAGATGGATAGGGAGAGAGCAACAGAGGTGGGGGGGTGTTTGTTGCGTTGTTTTTCAAGTTTGCCAGCATTGTCGCCCCCCCCCCACCTTCTCCGCGTAACGAAATCCAGTCTCTCCCAAGAGCTGCGACGTCCTTCCGTCTGTTTGCGTTCATCAACGAATTCCCTCCGTCCCTTGCGATGCATTCTCACCGCGAAGTCTGTGTCGCTTCGTTTCTGGAACGACGGCTTCACTATCGCGGTCTTCTCCGTTCAAATACATGTTAAGGTTGTAGCATGCTGCATGCGCAGTATGCAGTGTGCAGCACGTGCAGTGTGCAGCATGCTGCACGCACAGTATGCACCATGCTGCACGCACAGTATGCAGCGGCGGGCCGAATCTAGAAGCGTAACCGCATGTGTGCCCGCGCTGGTACGCGTGTGCGCATGTGTGTGTGTGCGCGTGCGTGCTGTATGTGTGCGTGTGTGCGTGTGCCCGCGCTGGTACGCGTGTGTGTGCGCGTGTGTGCGTGTGTGCACGTGCGCATGTGTGTGTGTGTGTGCGTGTGCCCGCGATGGTACGCGTGTGTGTGCGCGTGTGTGCGTGTGTGCACGTGCGCATGTGTGTGTGTGTGCGCGTGTGTGTGTGCGTGTGTGTGTGCATGTGTGTGTGCATGTGTGTGTGTGTGTGCGTGTGTGTGTGTGTGTGCGCGTGTGTGTGTGAACGGTTGCGCAGTGTTTTGCACGCTGCGCCGCGAACCTGGCGAGCCGAGTTCCATGCCAACACGAGTGTTCGGTTATCGGAACTTGTCCCGGGCCTCCTCCAGGTCGGCTCGGCCTTAAATGAGTGGCAGCTCTGTGGTGTGTAGACATCGGCACTTGGGGGGGAGCAAAGGTGGCCGAGCACAGGTATCGGCCACACCACTCCTCTTTCGCGTACCCTGCCGGCCTGTATAGGCGCTCACTCGCAGCACTTGCCCTTACAGTTTGTTGAGGCTACACGGGGGATCTTCGTCTTTGTTCCTCATGGCGTAGAGAGATCCGATTCGGCATCAGGTGTGTGCGGTGCGTCACCACGTAGCGCGTAATGGAACGGCGAAGATTTGTAAAACGTGGGAGAAGGCGGATCGCGAGGCGTTCGATTGTGTTAAACTCTGGCTGCAAATGTTCTTGCCCAGCCAGGAAAACCATCTCCATGGCCAGCTCTGAATGCGCTACTGTGGCCATGGGGTGATTGCCGTGTGTCGGAGTGGTTCAACTGCCCTACCGTTTAATCTCTTTGAATATAAACAGAGGGCTCGGTTGTGGAAGTTATCTTGCGTTTCTCACACCTGCCCCCCCTCCCTCCCATTCACGAACGAAGGATTGTGGCACTGTCTGTTCCCAACACTTTGCCAGGCACCTGCGGATGACCGTCGCTTGCCTGGGGCGTAATTTAAAAGTCGACGGGGATTAGTTTATAATTTATCGTTGAATAAAAGTTGATCCAATAAAAACAAAACACCGCGTGTACGTTGTCGGTTCATTACGTTTGAGAAGGTTTCGCGTTTTATTCCGTCCTGGAGAAGTGGTCCTCGACCAAGGCTGTGATTGTATAATATCTATTGGGGGGGGGGGGGCACATCCCCCCACCAATATTCAAATATGCTCAAAATGCCCCCCCCCCCCGAATATATTGCTATTAAATAGATTTCTGTTTATATGATTGTGGTTATGGTTGTACTTCATTAATCCCTAATTGCTGCCATTACATACAATGAAACAAGGAAAGGTAAAACAGAAAAACCAGCAATGTAATACACTACACTATTAGACATTATTGTAAAAAAGCAAAAAAAGTCCATCCCATGTGCTAGTGAATTTTTTAATATTTTAGGCAGGAAATTCGTTTTCAAATTTAGATTTTTTTTCTGAGGGGGGGGGACCCCAGACCCCCTGGAAGATTTGGTCCCCCCCCCAAATGTTGACTCCATGGCTACGTCCTTGTCCTCGACCACGTTGTGGCCCACTGCCGAGTGGACCCATGACCCCCTGCCCGACCCCCAACATGGGTTTCGAGAATTAAATTTACGAATGAATGACCGTCGATCTTTTAACCAATTGTCCCATTTTGTGAGGTCTATATCCCGGCTAGCTAAGTGACTGCAAGCGGAGGAAAATACTAATCAACGGAGGCACCGCACGCGTGGTGCACTTAGTCCGAGCCCGCTGGTTACTCTTGGAAACCAACATTGTTTACGATCTGGCATACAGGCTCCTCCTAATCGATGTATATCGGCCTGAGCCTCCCCTACATCCACGTGACTCCCCCAGCCACCACCCACTGTGGAAACACTCTGCCCTGTACAGCACCAGCGGCGTGGCTTGTGGTGTCTATGAGGTGTTAACTACCTCGCCTGGTATGCAGGAGGTCGTGGGTTAGATCCCGACCCTGGCGCCTGCTGCTGTATATTTGTAGTTTGTGTCTCTCCCTCTCTCTCATCATCATCACGGTGGCTTGGAGATGTTCACTACCTCGCCTGGTGTACAGGAGGTCGTGGGTTCGATCCGGACCCTGACGCCTGCTGTATATTTGGAGTTTGCGTCTCTCTCTCATCATCATCACGGTGGCTAGGAGATGTTCACTACCTCGCCTGGTGTACAGGAGGTCGTGGGTTCGAGCCCGACCCTGACGCCTGCTGTATATTTGGAGTTTGCGTCTCTCTCTCCCAGTGGTCGCGTGGATTTATTTTTTCTCCGGGTCCTAAGGTTTTTCCCTCCACTTAGAAACATGCGTTTAGATGATGATGTCACTACACATGTCCACACGATGATAACGATGATAAGCCACTTTGTTGAGCTTTCACTTGTAGCCAAGTCGCTTCTAAAAAAGAGCAAGACAGCTCAGTGGTACTCGTTGGTTCTTTCGGTAAAGTCCCGTAGATAATTAAATAAATAAAAATATATCACGACGTTTCGATCGCAGCACAACCTTGTTGTTGTAACAGCTCTCTCCCTGGTTCAGCAGCTCCACTGCTGGATTATTATTAGTTGTTTTACGCCTGAGGACGACCTCTTGTGTTGCGATCGAAACGCCGTGATGTCGTTTCTATTTTATTTTTCTAACTACGTGACTTTACCGAAAGAACCAAAGAGTATGGATCCCTGCAGGCACGAAAGCTTCAAATCAAGATAGCTCAGTGGGCTTTACCTGGTAAGATAACAAAAAATAGTTTAGTTTCTTTTGTATATTTTTCAAACCAACTCGTTTACCTTTTGCAAACTCTGCACTCCTACGATGTCTGTGTGCTGTCTGTTGTAACGTTCCGACCTGCCCCCTTACCGTAACATCCCTGAGAAAGAGCTTCATAGCTCATCGGATTCCTCCTGCAGTACCAATACATATTCTTCTGATTCCGGTTCGCTGGGTTGGTGCACATTGCCGAGTCGGAGCTGTTGCGTGATGGCAGCGACACGAGCAGAAGCGGCGATGCCAATGCTGCTGCCGCCGCCTGTGCTGCTGCCGCCGCCTGTGCTGCTGCCGCTGCCTGTGCTGCTGCTGCCTGTGCTGCTGCTGCTGCCTGTGCTGCTGCCTGTGCCGCCGCCTGTGCTGCTGCTGCTGCCTGTGCTGCCTGTGCTGCTGCTGCCTGTGCTGCTGCTGCCTGTGCTGCTGCTGCTGCTGCTGCCTGTGCTGCTGCTGCCTGTGCTGCCTGTGCTGCTGCTGCTGCCGCCTGTGCTGCTGCTGCCGCCTGTGCTGCTGCTGCCGCCTGTGCTGCTGCTGCCGCCTGTGCTGCTGCTGCCGCCTGTGCTGCTGCTGCCGCCTGTGCTGCTGCTGCCGCCTGTGCTGCTGCTGCCGCCTGTGCTGCTGCTGCCGCCTGTGCTGCTGCTGCCGCCTGTGCTGCTGCTGCCGCCTGTGCTGCTGCTGCCGCCTGTGCTGCTGCTGCCGCCTGTGCTGCTGCTGCCGCCTGTGCTGCTGCTGCCGCCTGTGCTGCTGCTGCCGCCTGTGCTGCTGCTGCCGCCTGTGCTGCTGCTGCCGCCTGTGCTGCTGCTGCCGCCTGTGCTGCTGCTGCCGCCTGTGCTGCTGCTGCCGCCTGTGCTGCTGCTGCCGCCTGTGCTGCTGCTGCCGCCTGTGCTGCTGCTGCTGCGAGAGAGAGAGAGACAGAGTTGAAGTTGCTTCCTCTACGCTCCATCGTTTTGTTTACATGGCCACAATCGTGCCACTGGCATGTCTTTAATTTAGACACACGTATCTCTGTGGGTCTCTTTGTATCTCTATGTATCTCTATGTATCTCTATGTATCTCTATGTATCTCTGTGGGTCTCTACGTATCTCTGTGGGTCTCTACGTATCTCTGTGGGTCTCTATGTATCTCTGTGGGTCTCTACGTATCTCTGTGGGTCTCTATGTATCTCTATATGTTTCTGTATCTTTGTGGGTCTCTATGTATCTCTGTGGGTCTCTATGTATCTCTGTGGGTCTCTATGTATCTCTGTGGGTCTCTACGTATCTCTGTGGGTCTCTATGTATCTCTGTGGGTCTCTACGTATCTCTGTGGGTCTCTATGTATCTCTATATGTTTCTGTATCTTTGTGGGTCTCTATGTATCTCTGTGGGTCTCTATGTATCTCTGTGGGTCTCTACGTATCTCTGTGGGTCTCTATGTATCTCTGTGGGTCTCTACGTATCTCTGTGGGTCTCTATGTATCTCTATATGTTTCTGTATCTTTGTGGGTCTCTATGTATCTCTGTGGGTCTCTATGTATCTCTGTGGGTCTCTATGTATCTCTGTGGGTCTCTACGTATCTCTGTGGGTCTCTATGTATCTCTGTGGGTCTCTACGTATCTCTGTGGGTCTCTATGTATCTCTATATGTTTCTGTATCTTTGTGGGTCTCTATGTATCTCTGTGGGTCTCTATGTATCTCTGTGGGTCTCTATGTATCTCTGTGGGTCTCTATGTATCTCTGTGGGTCTCTGTATCTCTGTGGGTCTCTATGTATCTCTGTGGGTCTCTATGTATCTCTGTGGGTCTCTATGTATCTCTGTGGGTCTCTATGTATCTCTGTGGGTCTCTATGTATCTCTGTGGGTCTCTACGTATCTCTGTGGGTCTCTACGTATCTCTGTGGGTCTCTATGTATCTCTGTGGGTCTCTATGTATCTCTGTGGGTCTCTATGTATCTCTGTGGGTCTCTATGTATCTCTGTGGGTCTCTATGTATCTCTGTGGGTCTCTACGTATCTCTGTGGGTCTCTATGTATCTCTGTGGGTCTCTATGTATCTCTGTGGGTCTCTATGTATCTCTGTGGGTCTCTATGTATCTCTGTGGGTCTCTATGTATCTCTGTGGGTCTCTATGTATCTCTGTGGGTCTCTATGTATCTCTGTGGGTCTCTATGTATCTCTGTGGGTCTCTGCGTATCTCTGTGGGTCTCTATGTATCTCTGTGGGTCTCTACGTATCTCTGTGGGTCTCTACGTATCTCTCTGGGTCTTCATGTATCTCTGTGGGTCTCTACGTATCTCTGTGGGTCTCTATGTATCTCTGTGGGTCTCTACGTATCTCTGTGGGTCTCTATGTATCTCTGTGGGTCTCTACGTATCTCTGTGGGTCTCTATGTATCTCTGTGGGTCTCTACGGGTCTCTATGTATCTCTGTGGGTCTCTACGTATCTCTGTGGGTCTCTATGTATCTCTGTGGGTCTCTATGTATCTCTGTGGGTCTCTATGTATCTCTGTGGGTCTCTATGTATCTCTGTGGGTCTCTATGTATCTCTGTGGGTCTCTATGTATCTCTGTGGGTTTCTATGTATCTCTGTGGGTCTCTGCGTATCTCTGTGGGTCTCTATGTATCTCTGTGGGTCTCTACGTATCTCTGTGGGTCTCTACGTATCTCTCTGGGTCTTCATGTATCTCTGTGGGTCTCTACGTATCTCTGTGGGTCTCTATGTATCTCTGTGGGTCTCTACGTATATCTGTGGGTCTCTATGCATCTCTGTGGGTCTCTACGTATCTCTGTGGGTCTCTATGTATCTCTGTGGGTTTCTATGTATCTCTATGGGTCTCTATGTATCTCTGTGGGTCTCTATGGGTCTCTGTGGGTCTCTACGTATCTCTGTGGGTCTCTATGGGTCTCTATGGGTCTCTTTGTATCTCTGTGGGTCTCTTTTTATATATCCCTGTTGGTTTCTATGTATCTCTGTGTGTCTCTATGGGTCTCTATGTATATCTGTGTGTCTCTCTGTGTCTGTGTCTCTATGGGTCTCTGGGTCTATTTATCCCTGTTGGTGTCTATGTATCTCATTGTATTTCTGTTGGTTTCTATGCATATCTATGTATCTACCGATCTTTCTATATCTCTATTGGTTTATATGTATCTCTATGTATCGCTATGGGTCTCTATGTATCTTTATGTGTCTCTACGGGTCTTTATATATTCCTGCTGTTTTATTATTATTTTATTATTTCCTTTCTACGTGACTTTACCAAAAGAACCAAGAATATGAATCCCTGCAGTCACGGAAGCTTTATATCGAAATGTATATTTCTGCTGGGTTCTATTTATCTCAATGTATCTCTATGCATCTCTATGTGTCTCTACGGGTCTTTATATATCTCTAATGGTTTGTAGGCATCTCAATGCATCTCTACGGGTCTCTATGGGCCTCTATGGGTGCACTGTATGGCCCATAGTTTGTGTTGCATGACCACATTGGCATCGCCGTCACGAGCTGTCTTTCATTTCCCGTTCACGATGGAGGTGTGCGCATCGGGCTGTCGATGTCCTGACGAGGTGATCGATGGTCCCACCACCACCACCACCACGAGGAGGTGGAATGTCAAAGCCAGGAGGAGGTGGTGCCATGATGTTGTTTTTGGGTCTCGAAATGAGGAGGCGTTTATTCTGTACGGCCGCGTTGCTCCACGCTCTCTCTGTTCGCAGCAGCGGCAGCGGCGTTCCTCCAACTCTGTGTTGGCATTGCTGCTGCTGCTGCTGCTGCTCTGTGAGTCCGTGTGGCCACACGAGGTTACATTTAACCACCGCTGCTCTCGCTCGGGTACAGCGCCGCGAAATCCATTTACTATTCCGTGCAGCAGCTACCGATGCAAGCACGCAGCCACGGGCGGGCGGGTGGGCAGGCGGGCGGGCAGGCGGGCAGTAGACACGTGTGTGCGAGAGAGGCTTCCCTCTGGTGGCTGTGCAGCAACACCACGGCTACATACAAAGCACGGCTGTGCATACATTTTGATTGTATATTGATTAATTTTGTTCAGTACCTCGCCTGGTATACAGGAGGTCGTGGGTTCGATCCCGACCCTGACGCCTGCTGCTGTATATTTGTGGTTTGCGTCTCTCTCTCCCCGTTTCCACCCCACCCTCTCTCCCCATTTAGAATCAACGTCACGAGTTTAGAGTTATTTGACTTCTGCTATAAATCTCCATTCGTCGAGCTATCATTTGCGGCCAGGTCGCTTCTCAAAACAAGCTCTACAGCTCAATGGGTCTGACCCAGAAACATTAAACGTAGTTTAGTTTAATAGTTTAGCTTAATAGCTGTAAAATACGCACGGCACAATTGCGCATTGTTAATCTATTGCTGGGTGGAAGCTTGCCCCTCTCGATCATTGGGGTCGCTTCACCATACTTCACCACGCTGGTCAGTGCGGTCTGCTTTGTTGCATTGGGAGGTCGGGGGCAGGAACGGGTTCGGATAATCGCCACTGATGTTAGCCGTGGTTGGGAATCGAACTCTGGTGGCTGGGTCCGTAAGTGCCGCGGGTCGCACCGACCCATCACACACGAAGACAAACTACCCCCCGTGTTGCCTTCAACGGACTCTTTGGGGCAGCGCTGACGTTTGACAAATCGCATCAGGTATTCCGTTTTAGGGCTGAGTCGACCTAGGAGAGACTCCAGGTATCAGATGTTCGTCGCTGCTTGTTTTGTGGCCGTGAGCGGCAATTGAATTCGGGTCGCCGGGTTCGAGGCGCGGTGCAATGACCCACGCAAAGACAAAGATCCCCCACATAGCCTTAACACACTGTTGGGGCAAGTGCTGTTAGCGAGCAGCACCTATGAAGGCGGGCACAGCACACGAGGGGGTGGGTGGCCAGCACCACGCCCGGCCGCCTTTGTCTCCCGATTGACGATGTTTAAACACCGCACCAGGTACTCATTTGGGCTGAATAACCCACACACAGACCCAGCCACACACACACAGACACACAGGCACCCACATACAACGACAAAAATCCCCCGTGTAGCCTTAATAGACGGCTGGGGAAAGTGCTGTTAGCGAGCACCTATGAAGGCGGGCACAGCAGACGAGGGGGTGGGTGGCCAGCACCACGCCCGGCCGCCTTTGTCAGACCCACACACACACACACAACGTGGCCCTGGGTGTCTGCGCTACGCTGGGATTTTGCCTTTGAAGGCAGCGCGGAGGAGAGGCGTGAAACACAATTTTACTGGAAATGGGTCAATTCCTCCATCGGGGTTTTATTTCTGGTGCAGCTTGATGGCAAGCCGCTGCTGGGTGCTGTGACAGACTTCTGTCTTCCGCTGGGGGATTTAAGAGCGAGAGAGAGACAATTTTATATAGATCAGCCACGGAAGAATGGATTTGAATGACAAAGAAGCTTTAGGTCTGTGCATGTATTATTTGTGGGCGTTGGTATGGGCCTGAAAACGTGTCGGCGGGTTGGGTAGAATACACAGACAGAGAGAGATTGGGCTGAGTTTAGGTAGGGTGGGTGGGTGGTGGGGGGAGAGAGATTGGGCTGAGTTTGGGTAGGGTGGGTGGTGGGGGGAGAGATTGGGTGAGTTTGGGTAGGGTGGGTGGTGGGGGGAGAGAGATTGGGCTGAGTTTGGGTAGTGTGGGTGGTTGGTGTGGGTGTGAGAGATTGGGGTGAGTTTGGGTGGGTGGGTGGTGGGGGGAGAGAGAGATTAGGGTGAGTTTGGGTAGGGTGGGTGGGTGGTGGGGGGAGAGAGATTGGGGTGAGTTTGGGTAGGGTGGGTGGTGGGGGGAGAGAGATTGGGCTGAGTTTGGGTAGGGTGGGTGGTGGGGGGAGAGAGATTGGGCTGAGTTTGGGTAGGGTGGTGGGTGGTGGGGGGAGAGAGATTGGGGTGAGTTTGGGTAGGGTGGTTGGGTGGTGGGGGGAGAGAGATTGGGGTGAGTTTGGGTAGGGTGGGTGGGTGGTGGGGGGAGAGAGATTGGGGTGAGTTTGGGTAGGGTGGGTGGGTGGTGGGGGGAGAGAGATTTGGGTGAGTTTGGGTAGGGTGGTGGGTGGTGGGGGGAGAGAGAATGGGGTGAGTTTGGGTAGGGTGGGTGGGTGGGGGGGGGGGGAGAGATTGGGGTGAGTTTGGGTAGGGTGGGTGGTTGGTGGGGGGGGGAGAGATTGGGGTGGGTTTGGGTAGGATGGGTGGTTGGTGGGGAGAGAGATTGGGTGAGTTTGGGTAGGGTGGGTGGGTGGTGGGGGGAGAGAGATTGGGGTGGGTTTGGGTAGGGTGGGTGGGTGGTGGGGGGTGTGAGAGAGGGAGAGAGGGAGACTGAGGTGGAGGAGGAGGGGGTGGGTGGGTGGGGGGTGGTGGCAGTGTTGTCTTGACAACCACCTCCGCTGCTCAGAGCATCACGTAGGAGACGGGGCGAGGAGGGAGGGACCGCCACAGTGCAGGTTTATTGGAGGCGTCCCTTGCCCTCCCCTCTCTCTCCCTCCGTCTCTGGCTCTCGCACCGCAGCTCTCCCTGGTTTGCCCGCCGCCGTGGACAATAGAGTGATTGGGAGGTGCCTCCCCTGCCACGATCGGTCACCACCGCCACCACCGCCGCCACACCTGCACGACCGACACCCCGCGCACTCAGAGCCTCCGAGATGTCAGACAGCGCCGACATGAGCGACCTCTGCTCTGTCACGGACCCCGCCAGCCGGGGAGAGGTGAGATCGATCTCTGTCTGTGTGTCCCTCTCTGTCCCGCTCCCTGCATGAGTCGGCGTCTCTCTCTGTGTGTCTCTCTCTGTGTCCCTTTGTCTAGCTCTCTCCGTCATTGAGTCTCTGCATCTCTCGCTGTGTTGCTATGTCTGTCTGTCTGTGTGCGTGTCAATCTTATCTCTAGCTGTGTGTCGGTGTCTCCCTGTGTATCTGTTTCCCTCTCTCTGTGTCTATTTCTCTCTCTTTGTCTCTCTCTCTGTCATTGTGTCTCTGTATCTCGCATCTATCTCTGTGTCTGTCTCTCTGTTTCTATGCCTCTGTCTGTGAGTCTCCGTCTGTGTGTCCGTGTCTCCATCTACATCTGTCTCGCTCTCTCTATCTCTCGTCGTCTGTATCACCGTATCTCTATCTCTCCTGTTTCTACATCGCTCTGTCTATATGCGAGTCTCAGTCTCTCTCTCTCGGCGTCTCTGTGTGTATGTACGTGTCCCTGTGTGTGTGTGCGCGCGCGCATATAATGCACGCGGGGCGAAATTGTTTGACACTCGGCTCGCGATGAAAATTATCAATCAATCAACACCACCAACCCTCGTCAGACGCGCCTTTAAATCACAGCGTAGACTACCACCGCACTCATCCCACTTCTGTATTCTGCTTTGTTCTAGCGTCCCTTGCTACGCGCGCGTGTGTGTCTGTGTGTGCGTGTGATGCTGCGTGTGTGTGTCTGTGTGTGCGTGTGATGCTGCGTGTACGTGCGTGCGTGTGTGTGTGTCTGTGTGTGTGTGATGCTGCGTGTACGTGCGTGTGTGTCTGTGTGATGCTGCGTGTGCGTGCGTGTGTGTGTGTCTGTGTGTGCGTGATGCTGCGTGTACGTGCGTGTGTGTCTGTGTGATGCTGCGTGTACGTGCGTGTGCGGGGAGCGGTGGCGCAGTGGTTAGAGCGCCGCACGACGAACCCCGGCGACCCCGAGCACGAGGACTCGCTCACGGCCACCAACGCCACTGACGATTATCTGAACCGGTCCTGGGCGCCCCCCCCCACCTCTAAGTCGACTCGGCCTCAAATGAGAACCTGGTGGCGATGTTTAAACATCGTCACTGGGGAGACAAAGGCGGCCGGGCGTGGTGTTGCCCACCCACCCCTCGTGTGCCGTGCCGGCCTTCATACGGCGCTGCTCGCTAGCAGCACTTGCCCCACGTCTGTCAAAGACTACACGGGGGATCCTTTGTCTGTGTCGCGTGTGTTTTATTGACGCCGTGCGTGCATACGAGACCACGTAACTAAACTACAACCAGCATCAGCGTCCGACCAAGCATCTGCCGAGGATCTTCCGTGAGACGCACCAAGGTCGAGAACTGACGTCTCTAAAACGGTGCCTAGTTCCTTGTCCTCCCCCTGCGCACACATCCGATTGGCACGGGGTCGGCTACGTACGGTGCGAAAGAAGTCCCACGCACGGACACTGCACAACGCAGCCCTGAGCGCAGTCGCCCTTCGACCTCCGGCTATCGACCTTTGCAATCGTCCCCGCGTGCCCAGGGCGCCTGGGTGTGTGTGTGGGGGGGGGGGGGCGAGTGGGCACCAGCCCCCCCACCCCCCACCCCGAGGCGAGCGGCCTCCCGCCCGTGACGGCGGCCGAGCGGAGTGGCCACGGGGGAGCTGTCCTCGAGCGCGGGGTGCTGACCTGGAACGTGAGCGCCCTGCGCGTGGTGCCTTTGGTGGTGGTGGTGGCGGTGGTGGCGGCGGTGGTGGTGATTACATTGGCGGTGGTGGTGATCATGGTGGTGGTGGTGGTAGTGACGGTGGTGATAGTGGCGGTGGTGGTGACAGTGGTGATAGTGGTGATCGTGGTGGTGGTGATAGTGGTGGTGATAGTAGTGGTGGTGACAGTGGTGGTGGTAACAGTGGTGGTGATAGTGGTGGTGACAGTGGTGGTGGTAATAGTGGTGATAGTGGTGATCGTGGTGGTGATAGTGGTGGTGGTGACAGTGGTGGTGGTAAAAGTGGTGGTGATAGTGGTGGTGATAGTGGTAGTGATGGTGATGGTGGTAGTGGTGGTGGTGATAGTGGTGGTGAAAATGGTGGTAATATTGGTGGTGACCGTGATGGTGGTAATAGTGGTGGTGATAGTGGTGATAGTGTTGATGGTGGTGGTGATAGTGGTGGTGCTGGTGGTGTTGATAGTGGTGGTGATGGTGATAGTGGTGGTGGTGTTAATGGTGGTGATGGGGGTGATGATCATGATGGTGGTTAAGGTGATGACGGTCGTGTCGGTGATAGTGGTGGTGGTTGTGGCGGCGATGGTGGTTGTAATAATGGTGGTGGTAGTAGTGGTGTTGCAGGTGGGGAGCGGTAGTGTCTTTAGTAATGATGGTGCTCGCAAACTGCACTTGCCCTAACAGTCTGTTGAAGGCTATATGGGGGTATTTGTCTTTTGGTGGCAATAGTGGTGGGCGTGCTAATGGTGTTGGTGGTGGTGATGATGATCATGACAGTGGGTGTTGATGGTGATAGTGGTGGTAGTGGTGGTGGCAGTGATGGTATTAGCGGTGGTTGTAGTGGTAGTGATGGTTGTAGTACTCGTAGTGGTGTTGGTGGTGGTGGTTAAAGTGGTGGTGACGTTTTGGTGATAGTGGTGTTAGTTGTGGTGGTATTAGCGGTGGTGATATTGGTAGTGATGGTAGTAGTAGTAGTCGTTGTGCTGGTTATTAAAGTAGTGGTGATAGTGGTAGTGGTGGTAGTAGTAGTGGTTGTGTTCGTGGTGGTTATTAAAGTGGTGGTGGTGCTGATAGTGGTAGTGATGGTAGTAGTAGTGGTTGTGGTCGTGGTGGTTATTAAAGTGGTGGTGGTGGTGGTGATAGTGGTAGTGATGGTAGTAGTAGTGGTGGTTGTGTTGGTTATTAAAGTGGTGGTAATGATAGTAGTTGTGCTGGTTATTAAAGTGGTGGTGGTAGCAGTGGCGCCTCGTGAATGTGGTTGTTGGCTTTGTCTCCCGTAGCTTAATTTGTCTCCTCTGGTTATTAAAGTGGTGGTGGTGATAGTGGTAGTGATGGTAGTAGTAGTGGTTGTGCTGGTTATTAAATTGGTGGTGGTAATGATAGTGGTAGTGATGGTAGTAGTGGTTGTGCTGGTTATTAAAGTGGTGGTGGTAATGATAGTGGTAGAGATGGTAGTAGTGTTTGTGCTGGTTATTAAAGTGGTGGTGGTGGTGGTGGTAGTGGCGCCTCGTGAATGTGCTTGTTGGCTTTGTCTCCCGTAGCTTCATTCGCCTCCTCTGGTTATTCGCACACAAAGGAGGAGGGCGTTGGTGAGCTGCAACTTCCAAGTTTCCTCCTCCTCCTCCTCGTGTTCATTATAAACCAGATCGCGTTCTATCGCGCGCGCCCAGCCTAACGCGAGAATCGTACAAAAACGCTGCACGCATCATCGTTATGTTTAAAAAAAAACAATTGTGTGCGCAGCTTTATTAGCCGATGCAAAAATGCGGTAAACGGATGCATGCGCGCTTGCTGAAGGCGATGCTGTTAATGCGTTAACTCGTATCGTCATCGTCCCAAAAATATTATTTTCACGTTGGTGAAAAAAGGAAAAATGCTATTTGTACGGACGCATCTCAGCTGTATGCATGGATGCTGAACTTCTTTCGCACCGTACGTCGCCAACCGTGCTAATTCCTCCGCTCGGCGCCACCAATGTATTCGTTCCGTCTGCTGCGTCTAGGCGGGTCCCGGGGCAGGTTGCTTTGGTCTATCCACTGCTGCATGACGACCCACTCCCCCATTCTCTGGCGGTGAATCGTGGAGGTCATTCCGACCGCCGTGCATTGCCACGGCGGTCGCGTGCGAGTTGGTGAAGGCGCGGACGTCCGCAGGCGATGGTCGCACGCCAAGTGCTGCACAACAATTGATGACGCTGCGAGCCGCGTGGCCTATAGCACCTGTTATGCATGGCGGTGACCTATCCGAGCGTGACCCTGCCCGCTGCGCTAGCGTGCACACCCAAGCAATGCCCGTGACGCAATTTAATATTTTTTTTCTCTCGCGTGAAGGAAGCACAAACGTGGAATTTCACTGGCGCGTTCACCCGCTGGTGCAGTACGTGTGCGCGCGTGTGTGTGTGTGCTGCACATATATATGATGCGTGGGGAGCGGTAACGTAGCGGTTTGCGGGCTGCACTACGAACCCGGCGGTCCGAGTTAGATTCCCGTTCACGGCCACCAATACCAATGACAATTATCTGAACTCGTCATGGGGGCCCCCCTCGTCTATACGGGGGATCTTTGTCATTGTATTTGGGTGCCTGTGTCTGTGTGTCTGTGTGTGTGTGGGTTATTCAGCCCAAATGAGTACCTGATGCGGTGTGTGAACATCACCACTGGGGAGACAAAGGCGGCCGGCGTGGTGTCGGCCACCCACATCTCCTCGCATGCCGTGCCGGCCTTCATAGATGCTCGCTAACATCACTTGCCCCAACAGTCTACTCGGTCTATACGGGGGAATCTTTGTCTTTGCTATATATATTTTTGTTTCTCGCTCGCGGCTTGCAAGGTTAAAGGAGCGACAAGCAAGTCTGGCTGCTCACTACCGCACACGCAGCCCCATCTTCAATCACACTCCCAGTTGCCGCGCGACCCGGTCTGCCCTGCGAAGTGCGCATAGCACGGGCATCGCTCCCCCGTTCCTCCTGTGTGCTTCTCTCACTCTGTGTGTGTGTGTGGTGGTGGTGGTGTGAAGCGATGGCGGGCCAACAATTTTTTGAATTATTATTGTGTGAGTCACTCTCTCTCTCTATGTGTCCAGGCAGCAGAATTAACGAGGGAGACTGTGAGTGTGGAGAGGGGGGTGTGGGAGTCTTGACCCTTCACCACTTGGCATTAAGATCCAATTGCATGATATTTGTCACCGTGGACAAATGATGCCCTTTGGGGGGGGGGGGGTTCAAGAGAAAGAAATGACGATTGAATGAGTGAATGAATGTCTGTGCGGCCACCAATTAATTCATATTTGCAGAAACACGTTGGATGGTCCATTTTTCGTTTTTTTTTTATGAATTCGTGGTTTGATGGCAAGGAACGATTTTTTACCGACGCCCGGTGATGCGATGATGCATCACGGTCCCACCGGCGAGAGGGCGGGGTCGTTTATTTGAATCGAGATAATATTTTATCGATTCTATTTTATTTTGGGTTCGTTAATCATCTCGTTGACTCATTAGTAGCACCGTTTCAATCGGAGTCTTTGCGTTTGCATCAGTTGTGGATCGTCGATACCCACGCAACAACGCATGATATGAGCCGTGTGTCGTGCTGATGACGTTTGATTTTAATATATGTACTTCGTGACAAATGCATACAACAAATACACGGGGATCATCATTGTACCATCATTGTCCCTTCATTGTCTCATCATTGCATTCATCAAACTGCATTGGCAGTGATGCACATGCACAAACAACAACTCAACACATTCATCTAATATCACTAAAAGTACAGAGATAATAAAATATACAATAAGTAACGTTTAGGGAATGACCCTTCTTCATGGCAGAGAGATCAGCAAACAGAATCAGGTTTTCAGAACAGCGTAATAATGCACGGTGCCATGTGTGCGATGTATATGGGGTCGGGGTGGGAGGGTGGTCGGATGTTTAAACCCATACACTGGGCTCATTGATCGATGGCTCAGTGGTTAATCCGGATTAGAAACGAGGCTTTGGGAGCGGCGTGTATTTGGGTTAAGGAGAGGAGATCGGAGTCAATTTGGTGGGGGTTGGTGGGTTGGATTGGTGGGTTGGTGGTTGGGTTGGTGGGTGGTTGGGTTGGTTGGTGGTTGGGTTTGTAGGTGGGTGGGTTGGTGGGTGGGTGGGTTGGTGGTTGGGTGGGTGGGTGGGTTGGTGGGTGGTTGGGTTGGTGGGTGGTTGGGTTTGTGGGTGGGTGAGTTGGTGGTTGGATGGGTGGGTGGGTTTGTGGGTGGGTGGGTTGGTGGTTGGGTGGGTTGGTGGTTGGGTGGTTGGGTTGGTGGGTGGTTGGGTTTGTGGGTGGGTGGGTTGGTGGTTGGGTGGGTGGGTGGGTTGGTTGGTAGGTGGTTGGGTTGGTGGGTGGTTGGGTTGGTGGATGGTTGGGTTTGTGGGTGGGTGGGTTGGTGGTTGGGTTGGTAGATGGTTGGGTTTGTGGGTGGGTGGGTTGGTGGTTGGGTTGGTGGGTGGTTGGGTTGGTGGGTGGTTGGGTTGGTGGGTGGTTGGGTGGGTGGGTTGGATTGGTGGGGGGGTGGGTTAGTGGGTGGGTGGGTTGGTGGGTGGGTTGGTGGGTGGGTTGGTGGGTGGGTGGGTTGGTGGGTGGGTGGATTGGTGGGTGGTTGGGTTGGTGGTTGGATGGGTGGGGTGGTAGGTTTGGTGGGTTGGGTTGGGTTGGTGGGTGAGGGACACGTGGCATTGTTCTGTGAAGAGGGAGACGGGGGGGGCGATGGGAGGGTGCGGTGCGCGTGCCTCCTGCTGCAGGACAAAGCTTTTCGTCTTGGGAGGGGCGACGCAGGGCTGGCAAAATAAAATAAACCCAGCCCTGACCTCAAATGCAAATTGGATTCAACTCAATTTCCAAAAATTTTAACCAGCTGATGGCGAGGGGGGGGGGGGGCAGCTGAACTACAACCCACGTGGGTGCTTTAACGTCGCTGTCGTCTGTTGTTGTTGTTGTTGAGAAATGAGGCATGGGTCTCCACGGAGTTTGATTTTGCAAAGTCGGTCTGTGGCCGGGGAGAGTGAAGGCTGTCTATGGTGTCGGCCAATCAGTTTCACGCACAACGCGAATATTATCAGAGCCACGTTGACTTGCGTGTTCACCACAAGCACTGTGTGTGTGGGTAATGCAGTACTTGCTTACTTGCAAAAAATGTATCTCTTTGGTCTTGATTAGAAGCTTTCGTGACTGCAGGAATCCATACTCTTTGGTTTCTCTTTGGTTTTTGGTTTCTTTCGGTAAAGTCACGTAGGTAGAAAAATGAAATAAAATAATTATTTTGTTTAAAATAAAATAATTATTTTTATGATTGTTTTATTTTTAAATAAAAAAAATTGTTATTGTACTTGTACGGTAGTCGCGATCTCATCGAACGAGGCGCCGGATTTTTATTTTTTATTTTTTAATCCAACCACCGAGTCACCTCGACTGCCTCTCCTCTCTCTCTCTGTGTCTCTGTACCAGCGTGGACGGCACCCTCGTGTTCACCTTCTGAAGCGCTCGCTCGTCGCCGTGGCGTGCGCGATGGCACCACCACCACCACGTGACTTTTCTTTCGTGTATGTGCGTGGTGCATTGAGCGCCACAGCGCGTGGATTTGTAGCGTTTATTTGTTTGCTGGTGACTTTGTGTATTTCATATCGGAGTCGCCTCCAATGATGTTGCTGCTGACGGCAATAAAAGTTGTTTAAAGGTCAAAGTCTGTCCCCCGTCTCCCCCTGTCCGCACTGATGCGACAGGAGGGGTGGACACGAGGCACATCGAGTGCGCGTCCCTCGCTCACGAACGAACGCCCCATCACGGGGTCGAGGTATTTGGCCTCAGCGGCGGTGACGGCCGGAAGGCTGCGAATTCAGATCCCGGCTCGGGGTTGACTCTCAACCCATCATCCAGAAAGCCGGGGTGGGAGGGGGTCGATAAATTTGAGTAACCACTTTAACGTGCGAGCCAACCACGAGTTGGCTGTCGTAAGGCCGCCCCTCCCCCTCCCCACCCCTCGACCCGCCACCATGTTTAAGTGTACCTTGTGTTTAACTTCTTTAGCACCGTACGTTGCCGACCGCGCTCATGGGAGGTGCGCGGGCGAAGGACAACGAACTAAGGACAGAAAGAGCAGTTCTAAAGAAACGAGTTCGTCAATCTAAGTGCGCAGCTCCACAGAGAACGTTCCAGACGGCCGCAGATGCTGGCACCATCTATGTTCGATGGGCAGCCAAAAGCCGCCGCCGCCGCTGCTGCTTGCGAGGGATTAGCGGAGTTGGCGTGATGATGGGTTCATGCTCCCTGACGAGATCAGCGAGGGTGTTGTGGTGGCTCGCTTGTGGCGAGAACTTTGTGTGTCATGAGTGCGACGATGCACGAGATGTATTCGTTCTGCAATCAAAATGTAAACGTGGAATTTCCACCCATTGGCTTCATTGGCGCTGTAAAAACGCGAGGCTTCGATGGGGGGCGGCGTGGTCGTCATTCATCAGCAGGTTGTTATTTTAGTTTCACTATAAACTTTGTATTTTATTATTTTACCAGGTAAGGCCCACTGAGCTATACAGCTGTTTTTCAGAAGCGACCTGGCCACAAATGACAGCTCATCAAAGTGGCTTATCATCATCATCATCACGTGGAAATGTGAAGCAGCAGCCAAATGCTCTCAAACGCGTGACGTTGATTCTGAATATGGAGGGAAAAACCGGAAGACGCGGAGAAAAATCCACGCGACCACGGGGAGAGAGAGAAACACCGCAAACTCCAAATATATTCCAAATATTCCCGCACCTCCGATTAGCACGGCTGGCTGCGTATGGCGCTAAATAAGTTGAACATGCATACACATATACAGGGGTCGTCAGGGTCGGGATCGAACCCACGAACGCCTGTATACCAGGCGAGGTAGTTAACATCTCCTATCCACCATGATGATGATGAGAGAGAGAAATGCAAATTCCAAATATACAGCAGCAGGCATCGTCAGGGTCGGGATCGAACCTACGACCTTCTGTGTACCAGGCGAGGTAGTTAACATCTCCTAGCCACCGTGATGATGATGAGAGAGAGAAATGCAAATTCCAAATATACAGCAGGCGTCAGGGTCGGGATCGAACCCACGACCTCCTGTGCACCAGGCGAGGTAGTTAACATCTCCTATCCACCGTGATGATGATGAGAGAGAGAAACGCAATCTCCAAATATACAGCAGGCATCGTCAGGGTGGGGATCGAACCCGCGACCTCCTGTGTACCAGGCGAGGTAGTTAACATCTCCCAGCCACCGCGGCTTCTCATCGTCACCCTTCTTCCTCAGCAGGTCCCTCTGAAGGCGATCGAGCGGGAGCTCACGTGCCCCATGTGCAAGGAGCTGTACGCGACGCCGCTCCTGCTGCCGTGCCAGCACAGCGCCTGCCGCGCCTGCATCAAGGACGCACTGCTACTGCTGGGACGCGGATCGAGCCCAGGGGGGGCTCCCTTCCAGGTGGGAGATTGGGGGGGGGGGGTGCCGTGTATAGCAGAGAGGAGCTCACACACAGGCAGGGTGACGGTGGTGTGCGAGGGGGAGTTCTCTGAGTCTCCCTCTCTCTCTCTCTGAGTCTCACTGTGTATCTCCGTGCTTCGCCGAGTCTCGATGCATCTCTTGAGTCTGCCTGTGTCTCGTCGAGTCTCCGAGTCTCACCGAGTCTCTCGACGTTTCGCCGAGGCTCTGCGAGTTTCGTTGAGTCTCTCTGAGTCTTTCGGTGTCTGTCTGGGTCTCGCTGAGTCTCTGGGGAGGTATCTGAGTCTCTAAGTGGAAAGTGTCTCCGTGTTTCTCGGAATTTATGAATAGAGTCTCTTTCTGGGTTTATGAATTGCTGTGGCGGTGCCTGAGTCTCTCAATAGATCATTTCTGAGTCTGTCAATATATCATTTCTGAGTCTCTGAATAGAGAGGTTTTGAGTCTCTGAATCAATAATATTTGAGTCTCTGAATAGAGAGGTTCTGAGTCACTGAAAGAGAGAATATCTGAGTCTGAATAGAGAGTCTCTGAATTTAGAGTCTCCGCATAGAGAACATCTGAGCCTCTAAATATAAAGTATCTGAATCTCACTAGAATTCTAAACGTGGAGACTAAAACTGGAAGACCCGCAGAAAAATCCACGCGACCACGGAGAGAGAAAGAGAGGGAGAGGCACCGCAAACTCTAAATATACAGCAGCAGGCGTCAGGGTCGGGATCGAACCCACGACCTCCTCCATACCTGGCGAGGCAGTTAACATCTCCTAGCCACCGTGATGATGATGAGAGAGAGAGACACAAACTCAACATATACAGCAGCAGGCGTCGGGGTCCAGAGATCGAACCCATGCCTGCTGCATACCAGGCGAGGCAATTAACATCTCCTAGCCACCGTGATGATGATGATGATGAGAGAGAGAGACACAAACTCCAAATATACAACAGCAGGCGTCAGTGTCCAGGGATCGAACCCACGACCTCCTGTAGACCAGGCGAGGCAGTTAACATCTCCTAGCCACCGTGATGATGATGAGAGAGAGAGAGAGACTCAACATATACAGCAGCAGGCGTCAGTGTCCAGGGATCGAACCCATGCCCTGCTGCATACCAGGCGAGGCAGTTAACATCTCCTAGCCACTGTGATGATGATGATGAGAGAGAGACACACAAACTCCAAATATACAGCAGCAGGCGTCAGGGTCCACGGATCGAACCCATGCCTGCTGCATACCAGGCGAGGCAGTTAACATCTCCTAGCCACCGTGATGATGATGAGAGAGAGAGACGCAAACTCAACATATACAGCAGCAGGCGTCGGGGTCCAGAGATTGAACCCACGACCTCCTGTACACCAGGCGAGGTAGTTAACATCTCCTAGCCACCGTGATGATGATGAGAGAGAGAGACACAAACTCAAAATATAAAGCAGCAGGCGTCAGTGTCCAGGGATCGAACCCATGCCCTGCTGCATACCAGGCGAGGCAGTTAACATCTCCTAGTCACCGTGATGATGATGAGAGAGACACAAACTCAACATATACAGCAGCAGGCGTCAGTGTCCAGGGATCGAACCCATGCCCTATCGCATACCTGGCGAGGCAGTTAACATCTCCTAGTCACAGTGGCAGCCCTCTGATGACCCCCCCCCCCCCTCGTGTTGCAGGCGCTGGCCCAGGAAGAGCAGCACGGATCTCAGCACTCCTCTCCCGGCCTGACGCCCACCCACAGCCCCCGGGGGCCCAAGTCGCCCGCCTCAGGCCCCTCGCCGTGCAGCCCGGGCTCTGCCGCGGCGTCTCCCGTCGGCCTGGCGGGGCCCCTGCCGCACGCAGACCGCGGGGAGGCCAACAGCAGGGCCCAGCGGCCCGGTCAGTGGGGGCCCCACAACACCCCCCCCCCCCCCCCCCACCACGCGCGCTCCACCCGCGGCCGTTCATCGGTTATCCCGAAGCGCGATAAGGAAGGGCACTTGCCCGAAACGTCGCGTATTGTACTTTGTGTGTGTTGGGGGGCGGGGGGGTGGGTGGTGCTTGTGGTTCGCGTGCTGAGCTGCGAACCCGGCGAGCCGAGTTCGATTGCCGCTCACGTCCACCTCCAACACCAGTGACGATTTATCTGAACCGGTCCTGGGCTTCCTCCCCTAGGTCGACTCAGCATAAAATGAGTACCTTGGTGCGGTCTGTCAAATCGTCGCCACTGTGGAAACAAAGGCGGCCGGGAGTGGTGGTGGGCACCCACCCCCTCGTGTGCCGTGCCGGTCTTCATAGGTTACTCCTCGCGAACAGCACTTGCCACAACAGTCTGTGAAGGCTACACGGGGGGATCTTTGTCTTTGTATTGTCCTTTAAGACCACAGTGTCATTGGTGAATGTTTTGAGTTTTTGCGAAGTGTGTTTGGACACCGCTGCCAACGCAGCAACAACATCAGCAGCAACATCGCCCCCCCCCCCCCCCCCCACGTGGTTAACCTTCATACACCACACGTGCCGACTCTGCCAATCGGGAAACACTGAACCAAGCGTACACACAACACCTTGAAACATAATGGTTTATAAGAACGTGCAAAGATAAGCTATTTCAAATAATAATGGTGAGTGGATTATCCGTCGTTTTAAAAAATCTGGCCACCCCTTCCCCCCCCCCCGAAGTGGTGTGATAATCGATTATCTACCGTACGTGTGATTGTGTTGGTCTCTTAACTTCGATTTTGATATGTTCATGGTAGTTTTCACGCGAGGTTCAGAATCGATAATTATTTATTTATAATGGAGGAATCCGATTACCTATGAAGCTCCTTTTTACTCACAGATGTCAAGTAGGGGGATCCATGGGGTCAGAATATTATAAACACCCAAGACTGTATGAAACAAGTATAATCGGTTTTACCCTTTCTGGCAATAAAACCTGAAGACGGCTGCTTGCGTTGTAGCCGAAACGTCGTGAGAATTATTTTATTTTATTATGTTTTATTTTCATTATTTTATTACTTCCCTTCTACGTGACTTTACCGAAAGAACCAAGAAGAAGAAAAAATAAAACAGGTGTTTAGATATTCATATTCTTGGTTCTTTCGGTAAAGTCACGTAGAAGGGAAATAATAAAATAATATTAATATAAAAATGTTTTAAATATTAATATTATTTTATTATTTCCCTTCTACGTGACTTTACCGAAAGAACCAAGAATATGAATCCCTGCAGTCACGAAAGCTTTAAATCAAGGTGTTTAGATGTTCAAACACCTAATAGAAACCTTTTGCGAGGAATCAAGTCCTGCATTAACCACACAGTACTTGTGGTGAACATGCAAACCAACATGGTCTGATAATATTTGCATTGTCTTTGAAACTGATTGGTTTACACCAGAGACAACCTTCTTTAGGGCCTCGTTTCACCAGTGTTAGACCAGAAAATGCCAAATAAGTATAACCCGTAAAAACAAAGTTTTTCACTATAAATCCTTTATATGCGTGGCGGCGAACTTTATTTAAAGGATTTAAAAATATATTCGCCTGTGGAGGACGCGGGGATCGATCCCGCGACCTTTGGCATGGGAAGCGAGGGCGCTACCAACTGCGCTACTCCGCCACGGCCTGTGGAGGGGTTACGCTCTGGGCTCTTATACTGTGGCGTTCAGCCAAAGCGACGAATGAGTTCTATTTGAATATATGTAAAATATATATTTTTTGCCTAAACAGTGTAAAATTTTGGGAATTTTTTTCACGAACATTAATTGTCTGGCACAACGAGTCTGTGTGAAAAATGTCAGCTCGATTGGATCACGGGAAGTGGGTTAAAAAACGACCAAAAGATTTGCACGGTCGTAAGCAAGCAAGCACGCAAGCAAGCATGCGAACTTAATATAAATGATTTAAAAAGGTGAACAAGATCAAGACAATGAACGTATCAGAGTATGCATAACTCGGGGTGAGCAGCTACATCACGGGACCTTTTTTCCCGTATCAAAGTATGTCAAACAATAATAGATGTTAGCCTTACTGGCAATAAAACAGGAGGTACTATTTGGTTATTTCGGTAAAGTCAAGTAGAAAGAAAAATAAATTAAACAAATTAATTGCTACGTGACTTTACCGAAAAAACCAACGAGTAATTCTTGCAGTCACGAAAGCTCTAAATCAAGTTTAAAACAGGAGGTGTTCAGATGTTCAAACACCAAATAGAAACATTTTGTAAGGAATCAAGTCTGCGTTAACCACACACAGTACTTCTGGTGGACATGCAAATAAACGTTGATGATATTCTTGGTTCTTTCGGTAAAGTCACGTAGAAGGGAAGTAATAAAATAATCCAAATATAAAACAATAAAAATTATCACGACGTTTCGACTGCAACACAAGCAACCATCATCAGGTGTAAAATCCACAGCAAGTCGAAACGTCGTGAGAATTTGTATTGTTTAATATTTTTATTATTTTATTATTTTCCTTCTACGTGACTTTACCGAAACAACCAAAAATATGAATCACTGCAGTCACGAAAGCTTTAAATCAAAACGTTGATCATGTTTGCATTGTCTTTGGAACTGATTGGCCTACACCAGGTGAGGTAGTGATACAAATCTCTACGTAGGCAAGCCATGTGACAGCGACGTCACCGCCACCATCACCATAGCAGCAGATTCAAGATGTAATTTTAGACGTCGTTATCCACTCAATTGTCTGCTCAGAAGCAGCGTTGATCATCGTCCGTTCCTTTTTCAAAGGAGTGAAGGCGGCGGCGGTGGCGGCGGAGCGTTTACGATGTGCGGGTCGATGGTTCTTAGAAGGCGCCATTCGTGGCATCGCGTTGCCGCATCAGCCACGTGGCCCGGCTCCCGATTCGGTTGATGGCCGACCCATTGTCGGCGTGGGACGGTGAAACCGGGTGAGGTTCCACGGTTGAGAGAGACGCTCGTTTCGTGACTTCGGCCGCACCGCAGAACTCTCGCCTCCATCTCTCGCCTTCAATTCGTATTTGCGGCGTCGAGCGAAGCTCCGGCTGTGATCGAGAAGGGGGTGGACCGACCCAGCGGTCCCTCCGTCGCGGTAGGCAGCACCAGGATGAAGTGATCCGTGAAGCTGCCACCGAAGATGTTTTTCACGTCGAGAATTCTTTGCCGGAATATCACTGCGGTCGTTACTTTCGCTCGTTTGCCCGGGAAATCCTGACTTGGGTCTCAAGACTCGTTTTGTCAGGAGGGTGCTTCCTAGGAAGGGGACCGATGCTGCTGCTGCAGCTGCGTATTATCCCGATTGACAAAAAAACCCGTTAAAATGAAAACTTAAAAATATTACATGTAACTAAAAGTAAAATTATAGCTTTAAAATAATCCAGGAGAGTAGACATTCAAAACATAACAAAACACCAGCAGCAACAAGAGCAACCACGACGAGAACAACGCCGACGACAGCAGCCATCGCGCTGATCCTGACAGGCGCCTCCGAAATGGAAGCAACGACTCCCACGGATGATACGAGGACAACCATAAACCATGTGACAAGTCGCGACGGCGGCCTCGACAGACTGACGGAGACGCGAAGTGACGGGACGGAGTGGGCACCGGGTGGGAGAGACGCGGGCGGGCGAGTGGGGCGAGTGGCTGTCCACCCACGCCCTACCGCTCCCACTCCACCCCCACCAAATATTGCGACTCGTCGACCTCTTGAGCGCCCGACACAGCGAGAGAGAGAGAGAGATCACTCTGGCGGTGCTGGGATCGCTTCACAAACCCCGTCGTGACGCTGAGCAGTGTCGTCACCTGTCAGTCGGGGCAATGCGATGCGGAGTCAGTTTAAAACGGAGGCAATCGCGGACGAAACAGGAGGAGGATTTCTCCACAAACTCTGGCTGTCATCTGATGATGCTAGTGGTAATTACTGGCTGTCGCCTGATGATGCTAGTGGTAATTACTGGCTGTCACCTGATGATGCTAGTGGTAATTACTGGCTGTCGCCTGATGATGCTAGTTGTAATTACTGACTGTCACCTGATGATGCTAGTGGTAATTACTGGCTGTCGCCTGATGATGCTAGTTGTAATTACTGACTGTCACCTGATGATGCTAGTGGTAATTACTGGCTGTCGCCTGATGATGCTAGTGGTAATTACTGGCTGTCACCTGATGATGCTAGTGGTAATTACTGGCTGTCGCCTGATGATGCTAGTTGTAATTACTGACTGTCACCTGATGATGCTAGTGGTAATTACTGGCTGTCGCCTGATGATGCTAGTGGTAATTACTGGCTGTCACGTGATGATGCTAGTGGTAATTACTGACTGTCACGTGATGATGCTAGTGGTAATTACTGGCTGTCACGTGATGATGCTAGTGGTAATTACTGGCTGTCACGTGATGATGCTAGTGGTAATTACTGACTGTCACGTGATGATGCTAGTTGTAATTACTGGCTGTCACGTGATGATACTAGTGGTAATTACTGACTGTCACGTGATGATGCTAGTTGTAATTACTGACTGTCACGTGATGATGCTAGTGGTAATTACTGACTGATGATGATAGTTGTAATTACTGACTGTCACGTGATGATGCTAGTGGTAATTACTGGCTGTCACGTGATGATGCTAGTGGTAATTACTGACTGTCACGTGATGATGCTAGTGGTAATTACTGGCTGTCACGTGATGATGCTAGTGGTAATTACTGACTGTTACGTGATGATGCTAGTGGTAATTACTGGCTGTCACGTGATGATGCTAGTGGTAATTACTGACTGTCACGTGATGATGCTAGTGGTAATTACTGGCTGTCACGTGATGATGCTAGTGGTAATTACTGGCTGTCACGTGATGATGCTAGTGGTAATTACTGGCTGTCACGTGATGATGCTAGTGGTAATTACTGGCTGTCA